CTTATTTTTTTTCAGGTTTCTGTCTTTGCTCAGAGGCAATCTGGTAGGGTTAAGACCTCGCCTGCTGTTGGTCAAGGTATGTCCTCGGGTATGTCAGATTCTCAGGCCATTGAGCTTCCTGTTGCAAGTTCCTTTTCTGCTAGACATTGCAAATACTCATCACAGAAGGGGTGGTTCCACTCGTGTTATGCAGCTTCCACTCTTTGCCAGCTCCTAGTCACATGATTTGTGGGGCTTTTGGGTTGTTTCCTTGCAGTCTGCTGTGGAGTTGGTCACTCCCTCCCAATTTCTAGGGGTCAGGAATTTTGGATCCAGCATCCTCTCCAGCTCTACATCTAATCATTGTAAGTTGGTTGGACTCGGGCATGGTCAAATTGACCTCACCAGTTCAGTAGATGTCCAGATTGTTCCCAGTCTTGAACCCGAAGAGGGACTCTGTGAACCAATGGTACATCCTCAATCTTTCGGGTTTGAACACATTCATACTCTGTTCAACCTTCTGCATTACCACCTTGGCTTAAGTGTGCTTGGTTTTATTAGCTGGAGCTTGGAAGGTGTCCCTGGTTTTGTTTTTTGGCTGAGGCATCAGGCTTACCACCTTGAGGTTCCTCCAATCTGGCTTCCCAGGTGTTTACGAGGCTGTCATGGGTGATAGTGGCCTGGCTGCACCTTCTAGAGGTTCGTGTATTGGGCCATTGAGCATCAATGTGAAGTGACGCTAGTTTTTATTGTTTATTAAACAGTTTTATTTAAAAGTAAGTGGCACTGAAAGGACAAATAACTGATGGTTGCAAGATCTGGATTCAGTGGTACTGTACATCTTTAAGTTCAAGTTTGCTTACTAATTCTTGTGGTATAAAGTCTATACAACACTTGACAATATGTACTGTGTATTATTTTCCTCTGCTGAGTAAAGTGACTCACACAGTCGTGGGCCTGCGGACCACTGCAAGCAACAGCCTGTTGGACCAAGTTATCACAAGTCGAGCCTGGCCTCAGGCTGGGTTCGGGGAGTAGAAAAACTCCCAAAACCCTCTCCAGGTATGCTCCAGTAATGTGAAGGATGTTGGTAAGTACAATGGCAGCAAGCCTTCCTCTCCCTTCCTCACTGATGAACCACTCACCTCCCTAGTCAGAGCAAGGGTTAATATTTATGAGCAAGGCTATAAATATAATCAATTAAAAAAAATTGAACTAATATTATTAATTCAGTAGATTAATAAAGTTTTTAGTTAGTTTAGTTAATTTATTATGCACCCTATACCCATCTTGTGGGTAGTAGTGGAAAGGGCTACAGAAGCTCATAATGGGCTCAGGGACTGAACCTCCACAATTAACAAACAACTACAGTTCCCAATTGTCTCGTGGTGAGGTGGGAAGTAGCAAACGACACCCGCAAGGGGTACTGCGTTATCCCGTACAGTACTGTGTATTATTATTAATTACATATTATTTTAAATGGAGGATAAATCCTCATAGGAATTTAAGTTAATATTTAATATTTAAGAGTTATTTATTATGTGGAAATTATTGCCCACAGATCTGGCCTGGATGCATCGTTTGTTGTGGCCAATGGCAGCTCTTCACTGCTACCTGCAGGTCACCGGCTTTGCCTTGTTGGATGACCCTGTTCCTTGGTTCCCTGTTCCAAGGCTGAATTTCTCAGGTCGTTTGCAGTGCCCATGATGTTTGCAAAGTCACTGCATTGGACACAGTCTTCTCCAACATGCTATGCACTGATATTTGGGCTCAGGGGTTTTGGTGTTTTAAAAGGGTTCTGGGGGCCCAGTATGTGGTTAATGTGCCTAGTCCTGGTCAGTCATGTGTTGTGCTTATTTTTGTTTCCCCTGTGTTTCCTCACAGTTTCTTTGATCTGTGTCTCCTGGCCTGGATTCTCTTCTTTATCCTAATGCATGCCATCTCTTCTCCTTTCTGGTAAGCCCTATTTTTGCTCTATGTTATTAGTTTGCTTCAGGAAGCCACCAGGGCCTTCCCCAGAAACCCAATGTTGAATGTAGTGAAATACCTTTCTATATGAGCCCCAGTGGCTCTCTGACTAACTCCCTCCCTACCACGTTAGTTCATCAGTGGGCTGTTCAGCAGCTCCGCAACTGAATAAAGAAGATGGCTGCATGTGGAAACCAGATTGCCTGGTGGTGGCATTTAGTACTAAGAGTTTTCCACTTACTATAAATGTTTCTCTTGTTCTGTGCAAATTGTTTGTGGAGTGGCTTGGCAGTTTCGAAGCTTTGGTCTTGTTAACCATCTAGACGTCTGTAAATGGATGTGAATGTGGATGTCTTCACTAACATTCTGGATGCTTTCCTGGTGAGGTGGCAAATTGTCATTTGCTCTCTTTGCCTCTGTGAGGGGTGTCTGATATCAGCTCTGGTTCCTGGTGAGCTAAACAGAACTCCCTCATCTGATGTGATCCATTTGCATGGAGCAATCTCAGTGAAGTACTGAGATCGATTGCCTGATTGCCTGATACTTCAGGCAATCCATCCTCAGACCAAGTCCATTCCATCCAGCGGTTGACCCCAAAGACGCATTCATCAATTTTAACATGTTCATTGAAAATAGGAATTTTCTCAAATATAAATGAATATTGTTATATACTGTATTAGCATACTGTGCATTTTTCGGCATTGGTTAGGTTAGGTGTTTAGGTTCTGTTGGCAATTATTTGTATTTGTAGTACATAGGTGAAGCATTTTACAGTGTTGTGGTTCGAACAAAAGTCATCAGCACTTGTTCTGGAAGTGTTTGGACGTTATTAGTTGTGAGTCGTGTGTAAACCATTTTCATTCATAAACAGGGGGTTTGGAGAGTGCATGGAATGGAATTTGGCCTTTGTTTATGAGGATGGGCTGTTTCAGGGAGCAACTGAGACTCGTCCAGAAAGAGGTGCTTCATTACACTCAATGTTGGGGGTTTTCTTACTGGAAACTATACAACATGTAATATTATTTCAACACACATTACTTAAAACTGCATGTTGTTAATACAGGTGTATAAATAAAACTAAATATTCATCATAAGAATTTGATTTTACTTTTACCTCTGATTGAATGAAACTACTTTTCTTGTAATTCTAGAGTGATCTTGCAAGCTGTCTATAGAATCTATACTACTGAATGAATTTTTGTGTACAACATGTACATTATCACAATTACTGTATTGTATACAGGAAAATACTGTACAGTACATTAATACATTAAGTACTAATATTGAGGAAGTGGGTAGTACAAGATATAATGCGAGTTTGAAGCACAAGGTAGGAAATTATGAGAATGAAATTAGGTACTTTTTGTTTTACTTTTGAACAGGACATGGATAAGATTTTTTTTTTAATTCATCAGGGAGACCGGGCCCTTTTATTTGCATGTATTTTCACAGTTAGCCTGACTCTGGGGATATCAAAGAGAATTATTTCTGGTGCGGTGCTCATGGGTTCCATTACATCTATCAAAGAAAAGTTTCAGATCAAGATTAAACATTTAGGAACAAGGTTTTGTACAGGTAGATAGCACATAAGAATGTGTGGAGTGAGTGTATATTTGGCATGTTAAGATACTTAAACAGAGGGCTGTGGGCTAAATAATTATAATTACTTTAACTAGTTTCTACAAGACTCCTCTCAAACAATGTCTTTTCTTGTTAACAAGCTTAGGTACACACAGGGCCTCGTAGCCTGGTGGATAGCGCGCAGGACTCGTAATTCTGTGGCGCGGGTTCGATTCCCGCACGAGGCAGAAACAAATGAGCAAAGTTAATTTCACCCTAGTGCCCCTGTTACCAGCAGTAAACAGGTACCTGGGATAGTGCTGTCACGGGCTGCTTCCTGGGGTGTGTGTGTGTGTGTGTGTGGTGTGGGAAGAAAAAAAAAAAAAAAAAGTAGTTAGTAAACAGTTGATTGACAGTTGAGAGGCGGGCCGAAAGAGCAAAGCTCAACCCCCATAAAAACACAACACAACTAGTAAACACAGCAATGTGCTGCCTTCGTGAGATGAGGTGAGGGAGGGATGTTGGATGAGATTGATTGATAAAGATTAATTAAGCCACTTAAGAGGTGGCACGGGCATGAATAGCCCGTAAGTTGGATGAGCTTGTAGCTGGGTTTCTACATTGTATCATTGTATCTACATTGTGTTTGTCTACATTGTTTCTACATTGTATCTACATTGTGTGTGTGGGGGGGGGGGGTCCTTCCTACAGAATAGGATAGCAGCACATTGCTGTGTATATCTTGTAGAACAGTTTCTACAAGACTCCTCTCAAACAATGTCCTTTAAAAATAATAATAATAATATATATAGAGTATATAATATATCAGGTATATAATATATTCCGGGCTGTATAATTACTGTAGAGTGGCCTTATTAAACATAATATAATCACTATAATATTCATCTAAACTGTGCATAATATTTAAAATTACGATATATATATATATTTTTTAATTACAAAATTATTATTATGTTTTGTTGTTAGAACAATAATAAGGTGTGTGTGTTTTGAGGCGGGTGTGACGTCAGTGTTTACACTGGGAGGTGGTGGGTAAGGTGACGCTCTCTTCCCTCTCCCTGCTACCTCTCACTCATACTCCCTCTCCCTCACCTCTCACTCATACTGACACTCTCTCACGCTCTCTCACAATGACACGCTCTCACTAACGTTCATTCTCCGTCGTTGTTGGTACTGGGGACACTAGGAGCATTGCCGTGTGTTGGGTAGAGTAGTGTGGCCACAGGTGGGATACTCTGTGCCCTTTAGGTGCTCGGGGACACCCTGGCGGCGTGTGCCAGTACCCCACACCTCACACACACAGACAACTAGAGCACAGTCTTGTATCGTGACGTGACACGATCACCGTCTTACTGGCTCCTTATCTCCTTCACTAGCACTTCATACTAATGGTGTGACACACCTCACACTAATGGTGTGACACACCTCACACTAATGGTGTGACACACCTCACACTAATGGTGTGACACACCTCACACTAATGGTGTGACACACCTCACACTAATGGTGTGACACACCTCACACTAATGGTGTGACACGCCTCACTAATGGTGTGACACGCCTCACATTAATGGTGACAATCTCCCTGACGATAGCACCAAAGTCGAATACGGTCGAAGACCTAAGAATAGTTTGAACTGTCGACGTTGTGGATATTCTTTAGCAAACCCAATCCTTGCCAGTCTATACTAACCTAACAAAACAAAATTAGGAGATGTTTTGTAGTATGTATGAGGTGTGTGATATCACTATGATGTCATCATTTTAATGCCAGCTTAGGTTTTGGATCTGTGTGACTGCTGCCTCAGTCACACTGATAGTGACTATCTCCCTCACTGGCTCTCACTGATAGTTGCACTCACCCTCACTGTGCTCTTAATTGATAGTGGCACTCTTGCTCACTGGCTACTCTCCCTCACTGGCACCTCACACTGGTAATGACAATTTAACTCGCTGACACCTCATACTTACAGTACTGCATGAGCCTGGGTGAATTTGTTCTGTATATGTTGTGTGAGGAGCACATGCTCCTCACACAATTTCGTATTTATTTTTTCTTATTTTTCTCTTCATTCCTTATTTATTATAAGGAATACAGTATAGATGTAATAGAACCCATGAGCACTACACCAGAAATAAATCTATTTGATATTCCTGGAGTCAGACTAAATCTCTGCAAACACTTTATGCAAATAAAAGGACTAAGTCATGGAACTCACTGCACAATGAATTAAAAAATTTATCAGCCTATACTTTATTCAAGCGTAAAAGTACCTAATTTCATCCTCATGGTTCCCACCTTATGCTACTAACACTATATTTTATCTGTGAACTGTAACACAATGTAATAAAACTAATAAAAAAGAATAGGGGTGGTATATAGGTGCTACTCACTCAACCAATTTATTACTTAAGACACGCAACTAAATCGGTATTATCTATTCAATCCTTTTGTAATGTAGTTATTACGTTGAACTAAAATTCTGTTACAATGTACCAATTATTACTTTTATTGGTTAGCTTAAGGACCTGCTGAAAACAGTGGGCATCCTTTGGGCAAGAATGTAGCATTCAAACCCCAATATATGTACTTTCAATTATAAATAGATACCCAGGAGTTAGGCAACTGTTGTGGGTTGCATCCTGGGGAAGGCCATCAGTTGTTGATCTATGGGGATCTGACTCCTAACAGACTTCCTGTTCCTGACTATGGGAAACAATAAGGTGAACCGTATATTCCATTCCTTTAAAATAATCCATACATAAATTAGTAATGCTGTTATTTTACTTACCCAAAAGAAGAGCATTTTCATAGGTTGTAAAATTTAGAATTATAATTATAACCATCTATATTCCTTCAATTTGTATTTCTCTCATCTATTGTAATGTTTGTATCATCCTCAAAAAGCATATGTATTATTGCCAACTTGGTAATTTAATTTATATGAATGTATGTACTGTACCATAATTTTTAATAAATATATATGGCAGCACTTGCAATAAATTGGAGATTTGTTTGATAATCACTCCAAAAATTTGGCTGATAATCAATCCAAACATTTGTTTGATAATTAGTCCAAATATTTTAATAATCAGTCTTAAGATTTTGTTTGATAATCAGTCCACACAATATTATCAGCTAAAATGTTAACTGTTTTTTTGCAAAAATTATTTATTTTCAAGCAGCTTATATTTCACTATAATTTTCTCCTGAAGGATGGCAGCAATGAATGATGAAATACTGTCACTCAAGTGGAATAATCACCGTACAACATTTCTCCATGTACTCTCCAATGTCAGACTAAAGGTATACCTTCAGGAAATTTGCATGTTTATTTGCTGCTTATGTAGATTTTATATTCTAATATTTGCTACACCTGCGTGCATATTTGTTTGTAGACGTCACCATGTGTGTTCATACATGGAAATATATGCACACATTAATTGCATGAATGTACTCATTTGTGTTTGTGGAGATTGAGCTCCAGCTTCTGGGTCCTGCCTCTACACCATTACTTGTCCAATGTGAAACATGGAAAACTTCAAAATTGGTACTGTATCTATATTTTAGGAGATGGATATAAAATCTAAACTACAGAACTGTGTCACTGAAATAGTTATGTAAAATACTGAAGATAATCAGAAAGAGGATACAGTATTTACAACATTGGTAGGTAATTTTGTAACTGAAAGGTTAAAGCTTTACAAATCTGATTGAGTTCTTCAACATAGCATGAGAGAGAAAGATGGATTTACCTGAATTTACTTGAATGCCACTAACACTAGTGGCCTCGACGAGGACAGGAAGCTGGCAGCTTGTCGAATGTCCTCCCCCCATTTGCCTTGATGATCTTTTCCAGTTGGATTTTAAAATTTAACAGTTTTGACATATAAGGCTTCGGCAGATAGGGTTTCCATGGGTTTATAACTCTGTAGGTGAAAAAGCATCTCCTGTTCTCAGTCCTACATTGTGGCTTGTTGAGCTTGAAACTATTGCTCATGTGTTACATCTGACCTTTGGAAGAAATTTTCCGAAAAGTTTCAATGAGGTCCACCCTGTCATGCCTGGTTTGCAGTGTTGTTAGCCGTGTGGCCCTCAACTGTTCCTGATACGCGAGTTGACGTGGATCTGGAATAATTTTTGTTGCCCTGTGTTGCACTTTCTCCAGAGCAGCTCATAAATGAATTATATCATTGACACCAACAAAAATAAAAACAACAGTGGATTGTCAGTTAGGCAGGGAAAGGACAGGACGTCAAACCCTAACCTGAAAGGAAACCCAGACCCCGAGACATGGCCCCAGGTGGATAGCAGGAGCCAAAATCAGTCCACCCATGTTGAAGATAAGATTAGAATGCCTACATAAAAGGGGAAGACAAACCCAGGGAACCCCACAGGTCTTCAGATATACCCCTAAGGGGGACCTGGAGGAAAATGCAAAGCACCCCATGGGGTTCAAAAAAGGCACAAGCCCAGACTTGAGGGCACATCATCAGAAAAAGAGAAGGACCTAGGGGTACAGCCAAGAAACTTGGCTGTATCCAGAGAAACTACCCAGGGAAAGTCATTGGCAGCAAACAAATATCGATGACTTCAAAGAGCCAGAAAGAACTCAGAGCATGATCCGACAGGTAAGCAACAGGGTGAAGTATCTCTGCTCAGGGCCCAGATGTAGCAATCTCCCAATTCCCCACAAGCTTACAAATCCCCAGAAAGATTATCTCAAAGCCCCAAACTGCCCAGGGGACCACACAGAAAGGAAATACAGTCAACCATACCAGCCCAAGAAAGGGATTGGCCCTGCCTAACCAAGATGAAAGGAGGGCATAACTTATAAACAAGACACTGCACAGCCCAACATCATGCTGAAAGAATGGAGCACCACCTCATGGGCATCTGAGCTAGGTCAAGGCTGCAAAAGCAACATGACAAGCCCTGGACAACATATAAATCAAAATACACAAAAGCCACAACCTAAAAATGGGGTGTGGGGGCCAAAAACAAACACCATGAAGGAAAAAATTATCAACCCAGTAAACAGACTTGGTGGAGACAGAAAATTAAGTGACTATCAACATTCAACGAGGCTGAGGACTACCCAGAAAAGCAACAGAAGCAAGTAACAGGTTGTGTGGAGGGGACTTCAAAAACCTCACCCAAATAAGAGCCCCATAGCTCTTATTTGGGTGACCCAGATTACTTGGGTCCTGTAGACCCAAGTTGGGTCTACAGGACCCAACTTGGTCTAGACCAGGAAAGAGATTGGGCATTAGTGAAATGCTAACCCATGCCAACCCCCAACCTGGGAAAATGAGGCAAGGGAAGGCGTAAGCCACCACCCCAACCACCAGACCCCCACAGAAGACCTAAAGCACATGCACCACCAGGGAAGAGGCCTCTCAATAGGAGGTTACTCCAAAGGGTTCTCTCAACACCCTCTGGAGGGTGGGAAAACACCAGCAACAACCAGAGAAACAACTTTGACCAGATGAAGCTGAGGCAAAATAGTGACCAAGGCACACGCAACAGGTCAGCATGAAAAATGTGCACACCAAGTAGTAATAGTGTAAGAAATACAAGCACAGACCCCCAAACAAGACAAAAGTTGAAGGGATGGCCAGCATTTAACAGAAAAGATAGTGTTCATAGTGCTGGAAGGCACCAAGAAGATAGTGTACAAGTGCACCAGGTGTGTGAATGACTGGGGAGACTGGGACCGTCAGGTTTCAGAGGCTGCTATCTGGTGGTGAGGGAGTGGAGCTAACTAGTGGGTGGACCTAAACAACAACACTACAGTAGTTTGAATCAGGGTTGCAAATGTTGTCCAAGCAGTTGTTTTTTTTAGTGTGCTTTAACTTTCTAGTTGTTTTCCCTTCTTTAATTTGGTGATCATATATCCCCACTTCCCTATGCTTTTAATGAGGGAGCTAGGTTTTGGACCTGGTAGGTGCTCGTGATTCATTAGAACCTGGTGTGATATGTGTATTTGGAGGATTCCAAGTGGATATCTCGGGAAGATACAGAGGAGGTCTTCCCAGAAAAAACGTCAGTGGACAGAGGGGTTATTACCTCTTTTTACATCTCCATTGGTAGTGCTAATACTTAAAGCAATAACAACATAATACTAATGTACCTTGTAAATTTAAGTTACTCTTATTTCCTGTTAGAATTCAGCCTCTCATAATTTTTTTTCTTTAGGAATCGTATTCGGATGCAACAATCACATGTGAAGGAAAGTTCTACCCAATTCACAAGTTAGTCGTGTCATCATGTAGTGATTATTTTGATAAAATATTTCAAGCAACACAGTGCAAGCATCCTGTTATTGTCATGAAGGACATCAGACATGATGATATGGAGGCTCTGTTGAACTACATGTACCTTGGTGAAGTGAAGGTTTGTATCAGGCATGCTTTCTCATACTGGAGTATGGGTTTCTAATAGATACTTGGGCTTAGGTTTGTAATAATAGATATGGTGGTGAAATACAAGAATTTAGAATATTTAAATACAAGTATGGAATATCAATACTGGGTGTAATGTGAATTTTAAAAATATGTATTCAATACATATTTTTAATACCCTTAAACAAAATACCGTACAGGATATAAGAGATAATCAAATCAACCCATAATAGGCAAGCAACATGTAAAGGATTTGGGAGTAATGATGTCTGGTGACCTAATGTTTACAGAGCATAACTAAGCAAATACTGTATAGTGTTAGCTAGAAAAATGATAGGATGGATTACGAGAACCTTCAAATCCAAGAATCCCATCACAGTGCTAATACTATTTCAATCACTTGTGCTTCCTGCCCTGAGTATTGCTCAATCCCCCTTCAGAGCGGGAGAAATTGCTGAAATAGAGGGAATACAGAGAACACATACGGCACACATAGACACGCTACAGCACCTAAACTACAAGGATTGTCTCAAAGTTCTCAAAATGTACTCTCTAGAAAGGAGATGAGAGAGGTACCAAATTATATATACATGGAAAGTACTGGAGGTCAAGGTCCCTAATTTATATGGTAAATTAACAACATACTGGAGTGAATGATATGGAAGGAAATGCAGAATAGAGCCAGTGAAGAGTAGAGGTACCATAGGCACAATCAGAGAACACTGAACATCAGAGGTTTACAGTTGTTCAGTATCCTCCCAACAGGTATAAGCAATATTGCCAGAACAAAATTGGAAGTCTTCGAAAAAAAACTGGATAGTTTTCTGCAAGAAGTGTCGGACCAACTGAGCATATGTGGGCTGCTCCAGTAGTACATATGTGGGCCGCTCCAGTAGTACATATGTGGGCCGCTCCAAGCAACAGCCTGTTGGACAAGTCAAGCCACCTGGCCTTGGTGCCGGGCTAGGGAAGTAGAATAACTCCCAGAAACCCATCCAGGTATAAGTTCAGGTACAATCAGTGGCGTGGAAAAGTTTTGAAAAGGACATATTTAGGTACTGTACTGGTATTTACAACACTGTAAGAAGTGAGATTATATTGCACTAAAAACAAAGTTGGATTTAAAGTTATACTTGTGTTTGACAATTGGAATTCATATGTCAAGGCTGTATTTTTGCTTCCAAACACAACCTCATTGCTGTGACCTGTGGATCAGGAAGTGATAATTTAATTCAAAGCTTATTACACCCATAGAACCTTTTGCCAGGTATTTCATGCAACAGATGATACAGGCATTTGCCTTAAGATGTTCTCACGAGGCTACTACTTACAATTCAGTTAGGAACATGGGGAAAATTGTGAGATGAAGTTTAAACACATGAATAGTGATTGAAAAAATCTTGCCCTTAATTTGTGAATAATTCTCAGGATTTTGAGAAACAGTTAAAAGAGCTGACTGAAAACATTATTGATACCGCAAAGGATCTACACTTTGAGGTGGATGAGGAAGATCTCATTCTGCATTCTGAACAAATGTCTTACAAATACACTTTTAGAACATAACCCGTTTGTAGTAAGGGGACCGCCTTTACTGTATTCTTTTGAAGTCTCGCAAGAAAATAGGTACATTTAGCCTTTTGAATTGTTTATTGCTAATTTCAAATTTTCTTGATAAAAATTCTCTAAGTGTAGTTTTCCTTGATTTCTATTTTCTATATTTCCAGGTGTTACAGAGGGACTTACCAGGATTATTAAGAGCTGCTGAGTGCCTTAAAATAAAAGGTCTAGCAGTACCGGATGAAGCACCAAAAACCGAGAAATGTGAAATGCCTGCCACAGAAGGTGATCCTGGCCCACCAAGAAAACGTTCAAAATTAGATGAATGTATAGATACTTCATCATTGCCAGAATTGGCTATAAATGAACCTGAACATACAGATTACTCGAATCAAGAAAATGGTGAATCCATAGATATACCGGTAAATAGGTTATGAAATATTCAGGTTTGTGCAGAAGTTAATATGTGGGAAAGCTGTTGGTACTGAAGAAGTATGTGCAATAATTATTTAATGCCAGAAAGAATGGGAAAGTGGTGCAAAGTGTGTGGAAGAATATGTGTGTGTGTGGTGTGGGTGTGTTTCCTCACTGGGAAAGCATCCAGAAAGTCAGTGAACCAATTCAGACCAATTCTTTGGAATCCAGCAGAAAACTGCTGGATTCAAAAGAACAAAAATTAAAAATTTCATTTTATTCCCCTCCACCCCCCTCATATAATATAATACAGTACTGTATATAACTCCCCACCCCCAACACATAATATGTAGAACACAAAACAATGGGTATAAATTGGATAAGTTTAGATTTAACAAGACCTGGGTAAATACTAATTCAGTAACAGGGTTGTTGATTTGTGGAACCAATTACTCCATACCATAATAGAAGTAGGATCCCTTGTTTGTTTTAAGCACAGGTTAGACATAAATATGAATGAGATTGGATGGATATAAATAGGAGCTGCTTTGTATGGGCCAATAGGCCTTCAGCAGTTTCCTTGATTCTTATTTTCTTATATATTCCTCACTCTTTCTTTAACATATTCCCATATAGCCTGTTTATCCATGTCAGATTCTGTTACTCAATTGACAGACAAATGTCATCCATATCCTGGGTGGGAATTTCTGCTCATTTGTCATTTTCTCTACTTATGTTTTTGCAAATGTTGCCATCTTCTCTTTCACACTTGTTTATTCCTGAATTGTTATTTTTCATATCCCCAGGTTTGCCCAAAGGTGACACGTTTTCCTTCTTTCACTTTCTGAAGTCAGTTATTATGTTAGAGCTTTGCACCACACTAGGTATTCTTAATTAAGATCTTAAGGGAAATAAGAGTGTGCCTTAACTTACCTCATAGAATACTGACAGGTTCACAAGACAGTGGGGTTGCTACCTGATGTTTTAACATTACTGTGTTCTGCTGTTGATTCTATCTTCTTGGACTCCTCGTAACTTACGTCCCCCCTAAAGATTTGTGGCTCGTATCCACATTGATTGTTTCATCATCATTGCTGGTGTTGATAATTTGTTGTTGTGTTATAGTGCTGGTTCTCTGTGAGGCTGTGTTGTATGTAAGATATGGTGAATAAGTGTGAGTAATTGTTTAAATTAATTAATATACTGTATTTGACATTCTGCATTTACAATGTTGCTCCCTACTTTAAGGAGTTACTACCTCCAACTTCATGAAAAAGGAAATTGGGTTAATGATGTTATGATGATGCATCAGCTATTGTTTCTGTGGGGAGCCCCTCTGGCTCCCTGGAGCTCCTCTGACTCCCTGGAGCTATTGGACTGATATACGCTATATTAGTCTGGGGGGCATCAGTCAATGGAGTTCTGCCTATCGGGGGACCACGAGCCGGAACCTGGCCCCCCTCAGAGAGGCACAGGGAGCAATGGGCTATGGAAACCCCCATGTGTTTGGCAGTATTCCATGTCTGCCATTGACCAGGGTTAGGCACCCAGAAAGATAGGCATAAAAATACAAATCCCACTTGGTAAGAAAATTGTAACTAAAGACTGAAAAGAGAGACCGGACTCCCCCCAAAACATAGGGAAACAAGCAAATGTTATTCACCGCCACCGAGGCAATTGTCCACGCAGCCCTCCCCTTCCCGGGTGGGGGGGGGGGGGAGCCTCGGACCTCCGTGTCAGCTACTTACACCTCGGTTCGTAGGCTGATGAGCTCTGTGCCGCTTGTCAACTCTGGCTTCAGTTTCCTGCAGGATTTTGTTCCCTAGTGGTGTTTCCTGCTGTTTGTGGCATGTTGGCTAGGAGTAACATAATGTACTGGGACTGCATGTGCTTAGGGCTGCCATCCCTAAGCGTCCTGTAAGTACTACTCTTGGGTTCTAGGGTTACCTTCCTTAGAGCCTTCGGAACTCCACTTCCGTAGGGGTTCTTGCTGCTCTGCATTTACCCCGCTCTTGGGGCCAGCTGGGGTTTCATGGCCTTTGTTTGGCCTTGGGTAGGAAGTGGTGTTATTGCTGGTTGGGGGTGCAGGGTGCTGCGTTGCACTCTTACCTACGCGGCGGCCATGTTCCTTCTGATGGCATTGTACTTTTGAGGGGTTTTCTTTTATTTTTATTTTCCTTGCCTGATGGAGGGGTCTGCCTTGTTTGACTATTAGTCAACCTAGGGTATATTAGTGCACCTCCTCTAGGCCCCTGTGCTTGTACACATCACAGCTGTCCAGTTTATAGCCTATCTCCCTATTTGTTTACATTCAGGTTCCATTGTCTTAGCAGCACCTTGCCTGGGTTTCCCATAAGCAAAACCCCCTATGGGCCCTGGAAAAACCCCGTCGTTGGTTGACTGATGGATACGTCTTCTGAGTCCCACCTCGCCTTGTGTGAGTTTGAATGTTGTACTGTACCCTTGTCGCAGGGTGACAGTCACCAGTTTTACCTCCATCATGCTGCCTATTGGGTCAACGACACCTTTGTCCCAGAGTTTTGCGAGACGTGTTCTCTGCTTGTGCTCCAGTATACCCATTCTACTGTAACTTAGATTCGGATTCAGGTGGCTTCCGCGTTGCATGCTAGGTTTAGGTTGTTACAACGCGCTAGTTTTGTTGTCGGCTCAGATGCACAAGGGCTGCCCCAATTTGGGTTTTGGGACCCAGACTTGAGGGTGTTGGTCGCTTTGACTCTGGCTCAGTTCATGCCCTCAAGTCCTTCCCCAGTTGGCGGTTTTTGCTCTGCTCACCCCTCCCCCCTTCCCCTCCTGCTCCTGGCTCCCAAACATCTGAGGGTTTCAGAGTTAGGGCGGGGTTTAGTTGGTGATGAGACTCTGGTGGCTTCGGGGCCTGCCCCATTTAAGTCGGAGACAGAGGCATTTGAGCCTGCTTCTCCTGCTGAGGCTTTTAGGTCCTACCAGCAGACCCTCCTTCTTTGACGCCTTTCTGCTGGATTCTGCTGATGTGGAGGACAGGTCTGCCCCGGGGCCTGGCTTGAAGGCTTCCGGGGCTGGGAAAGAATCACTCTGGGGGGCTTGGGCCCCCTTTGATCCCGCTTGGGTTTTGGTGCCCTCATCGCGGGGTTTGTTGTTGCAGGGGGAAGCTGTTTTCTTACCTCCCTTACCTGTACGAGTTTGATTTGGGGTCGGCTCCTATCCAGGTTTCCTTGGGTTCCTCGGCTCCCTCTGTCCGGAGGTTTTCACTTTGGGTTAATCCGATTTTCCTTGTTCTCTATTCCAGGCCTCGGGGGGTCTCAAATCGTCCGCAGGGTTATTAGGTTTAGCCAGCCTGCGGTCTATCCTCGTGCCCATGGCATTCGTAAGTACTGTATGCTGCTTTGGCTGCCATGTTTGGCAACGTGTCTTGGGCTGACATCCGGGCACTGGGGTTTTGGTGGTCAAACAGTCCTGGCTGCCCATTATTTGGTAAATGTTCCTGGTCCTGGTCATTCGTGTGTGACTTTGGGTCGCAGGTTGCACCCAGTTGTCTCGCCTTAGAGTTCATGTGCCCGTTGCGGCTGCCTCCCGGGTAGGTCCCTTTTTTACTTGTCTTTGGTTATGTAGCTCCTGGGAGCCGGGGGGCTCTCCACAGGAAACCAGTGTTGAATGTAATGAAACACCATTTTCTGGGTGAGCCCTTGAGGCTCCCTGGCACCCTCCCTTCCTCCGGTTGCTGGTTTCATTTTTGATGCTCAGCCTCCAAACTGAGGTGTGAGGAGCCGGCGTGGGAGTCTGGATCTTCCCTTCCCTCTCCCGGGGAGGGGAGGGAAGGGAAGAGCTGTGCGGACAATCGGCACAGAAGCGGTGAATGACGTTTGCTTGGTTCCTTATGTTTTTGGAGGAGTTCTGTCTCTATTTGGTTTTCGGTTGCAATTTTCTTACCAAGTGGGGTTTGTTTTGTTATGCCTACCTTTCTGGGTGCCTAACCCTGGTTGATGGCAGACATGGAATGCTCCCAAACACATGGGGGTTTCCATAGGCCATTGCTCCTTGTGCCTCTCTGAGGGGGCCAGGTTCTGGCTCGTGGTCCCCAGGTAGGCAGAACTCCATTGACTAATGCCCCGGACAAATATGGCGTATATCAGTCCGATTGATCCAGGGAGCCTTCGGACTCGCCCAGAAAATGGCGTTTCATTACATTCAACACCGTTTTTTTGTGCAGATAATTTATGCCTTTTTTTTTTTTATATAAATCACCGATTTAATCTTTGCTACTTAAATAAAACATAATCCAAGTTAGCATGCAACTATATCCTGGTTTCAGTTTTGAGGTTTGTCAAGTGTTATTCTCTCCTAATTGCATATAATGTACAATATGTATTTATCCACATTATTGGTGCACAGTGATTATTGTTTCTTGATTTTCATACATGGATATGCTACAGGTACACACACACTTCTGACCACAAAGAAAGGCTTTATTGACATGCTACACATGCAGCTTATTCTGTGTGTCATGTGAAAACTTTAATTATAATATTCAATTTACAACTGAACCAAATACTTGACTGGCACATTTGTGGAATCTAATTAAGATCTTAATTTTTAGGTTCAACCTTTTGCAGACACTCTGAATATTGTGAAAGAAGAAGTAAAGTTTGAAAATGAGTTTAATGAAGACAATACTCTTAATAAGGGTTTAATTGTGGCAGAAGACCAAATATATGGTCCAGCAGGAATTGTATCTGCCCATTCACAAGTAACACAGGTAAAGAAACATGTGTTCAAGATGTTCAAGAGTTTCAGCTAAACACATGCCAACAGATTTGTGAAGATATTCAAATTTTTCTTAATTTGTTATTGTAAATTTACCCTTTTCACTGTAAAATTAAGAATAATTCTTATACAGTATCTCAGTAATTTCATAGTGTAGTCTCTACTAATTTATTATATGGAATGTTTCAGGAAAATGTCTGAAATTATATCTCTTCCTCTTGCACATTTATCATACTGGCATCTTGCTCACATACATGGTTATGACACACTTGCATCAATATTAACTTATCGTACTTACAGGAACCCTTACGACCTTGGGGTCAACTTGAAACCAGTCTCCAGAATAGTCCAAGTTTTCCAGTTAGTTTGGCAAACTCTGTCCCTGATCTTAATATGGTAAAGTAAACTTTTGTATCAAAATAATTTACTGCCTACTAGGTATTAATCTAGATCGTATGTTCTACATATTCATTTATTCTAGTATATATATAAATATAAATATATACTGTATATATATATAGATATAGATATATAGGAGCACCTCAAAATTAATAGAGGTGCAGTCCATCAATGGGAATTTAAACAAATGCTGTACTGTTATTAAATTAAGTAAATCTTCCCATGCATCAAATGACAATGCAAACAAAAAACAAATAGCTATTCAATCCTTTTTAGATTTTACACTATCATATAAAAAGCTCTTGTCTTACAATTGAATAACATATATTCCTGCTGCTGGTACACAGCATTAGGTCTGGGCTACAGCTATCCACCATTAATGACAAAAGCTTGATGGTGGTGGTCGTGATTTTTATTTTTTTCAGCAAAGAGAGTGCTGTTCCTTGCAATCTGCCAGCATCTGTGGGCAGGGCAACATCCCCTACATTCTACTTGAGGAACCAGGGTCTGTACTAGTCTCTAATAGACGCTTGTGATTTGTTAGAGCCTGGTATGGTTCCTAGGTGTCTAGGACTCCAGGTAGATAGCTGAGGGAGCTTCCAGAAAAACATTTCATTACATTCAATACTGAATTTTTCAAGGCATATTTGGGGAAGAGGCTCTTGCTTCCAGTTGTCAGATTGGGAATCATCATGCACTTCTCTGGAAACAGTTGGTTTGTTCCTTTTGGTCTTGGGGATATTTCATCTTCAGCCATTTCCATCCATTCTAGTCTTTCCTGCCAGGGATTCATCACATTCTTTGTCCAAATGAGGCTATCCGCCGTTAACTTCGTGTTAGTTTGAAAGCCGTGGGGAAATGCTTTATTCGTCATCCCAATATCTCCAGTTCTTTGTTCTAGGGCCCAGTTGTCTCAGGCATTGGGTCAGTTGAGTCAGCACTGATTCCCTCCTGGGTTACTGGCTGCTCCTTCCATCCTCAAATGATAAGCCCCTTTTCTTTTGTTTCTTGATGGTGAGTTAGCTTGGGCAGGTACTGAGGAAGCCCTCTCAAAAATATTTTGTTAAATGTAATGAAGTCTCTTTTTCCTGGGTCCCCCTAGTGGCTACTGGTTACTGCCATTCCTTCTTTACGTGGTCTCAGGGGCTGCAGTCTGGTGGTGAGCAAGTACTAGTTAGTAATGCTAACTAGTAGTTAGATTTGGACATCAAGTGTTTATAAAGTTGGCATTAGGATTATCACTATTTTTCATGCAGATGCTTGTTTTGGTATGCTTTACCTCTCTGGTGGGCTCTTCTGGGTTGATCCCAGAAAATGCCACCAAACTTTTCTTGCCTTTATTGAGAGGGACCAGATTTTGGGACTGGTCTCAGATAAGTTCTGAGTATTTGTAAGACCATTTGGGTGCCTAAGACTTGGGTTTCAGGCAAGTAGCTTGGGAAGCCACCTAAGAGATCCAACAGAAAGAGGCATGTTGTTGCATTCAGTGCTGGATTTTCCATTGTTCTCCAGATTATTCACAAGCTGTGTGATCTGCTTCTTTTGCTTTTTAAATATCAGAAACAACACAAGTACCAACATAATACTTCTATGCTAACTTCTTCCCTTCCCAACCATGATCATGTTTTCTAATAACATGGCCTTATTATTTATGATAGGAAGTTCCTCTTACCCTTGTGTGATGTGCCCATTTTTAATTTGTTTAATTCATTGTCTCATGGGACAGGCAACCAGTTTATGCATACAGTACATGTTAGGCTTATATTGAGCTCATCCCTTCCTTCCCAGTCCAATTACTGACCCCTCCCTATCTTGGGAAAGGGTCAATAATTGGATCCAAATCCACAAATCCAACGGCCGTGATGAGGAGTTACGTACTCATCTGATATATCATGCCATTGTGGTTTCTGTGTGTATGTCAGTAATTGTAGATGACTAACAACAACAGGATGACTAACTCCTGGGTGCCTATTTACTGTTAGGTGGACAGGAGCATGAGGTGATAGGAAACGCGCCCAACCATTTCTGTCCCACCTCGGATTCTCAATTGTGAGTCGAGAACAAACCCGACAACTACTGGGACCCACACCATTTATTGCTTAATATAGCTTAAACTCACAAATAATGACATACTGATTCTGTATCAGAAAAAAACTGGTGAACATGCTTAAGTAATAAGAAGCCAGATCACACTCGCACATAAAGAAGACACAGTGTCGGTATGCATACCTTCAGTATTGGCCTGGATGCCTCAGAAAACGTGTCTCAAATTTCTTTTTATAATATATAGTTGAGCAAAGGCTCTGTAAAACATTTCTAAGGAATAAATGCATTATTTTGAATAATTTTTAAAAATTAAAAAGCAAGATAAAAATAAGAAACTTGCAACTTAATAAGGAAAAATAGAAAACCATGATGAACCAACAATCGTGATGGGCGAATTTGGCTTATTGTTTAGTGGGTTCTGTTATAGGGAGGTCCAAATTTGAGAGTGTGCATTTTTTTTTTTATTTATATGTATCTTCTTTGTGTAATTTGACTTACTCTTATTACAGACCGGTGATCCAGGAAATACTCGAATAAATACCTTAAAGTGTCCTTTTTGTGAAAAGTTATTCATCTATCCTGCTAAACTGGCAAGCCATGTAAGAACTCACACTGGAGAGAAGCCATATGCTTGCCCATATTGTCCCTATCGTGCCACACAGCAAGGCAACCTCAATCGACATGTAAAAATTAGGCATCATGTTGATGAAGGAAACTGAAGTGTGTGTGTGGATGAAGTGAGACTTTCAGGTTTAAAAACTTTGGACAGTGAGTGATGGATTATGTTTTTGTGTATAGAAATACTGTATACAATAATTATGGAATCATTAAATAATGTGTATAACAAAAGTATGTGGTTGGTGGATGTACAAACATGTATAGCTATATTATTGTAAATATTTGTTTATGCCATACTGTATTTCATATTGAAGTACAGTTTGTATTTGATTTATTTGATCTGTTATATTTTGTAATAATTACTAACTTATAAAGGGTAAATGGTAGAAATTCCTTAAATTTTTAGTTAAATGACACTTAATTTTTTATTTAGAAGCTGCAGCATTTTATTACCCCTTAGAAAGTGGCTGTGGAGAAATGGTCATACCCGCCTATGCACAAACAATAAAAAGACATTATTATAGAATTATTAACTTGTGTCCAGAATGTAAGAAAAACTCGAAAATAAGTGAATACAGTATTTATAGTTTTTACTGGGTGGTGGTGCTCTGCAAGGCTGCGTCTGGCACTTGTCAATGCCTGGTGCTTGACTTTGCTGAGGCTTCATGTTTTATCCTCTGATACTTCACTGATTGTTTTATAACTTGCGTTTCATTATTTACATTCACAGACCTTTCATATTGATATTTGCATCATACATGTAAAACCCAGGCAATAATTGTTTACATCATCATATGATGATGATGACGGTATGCCACTAGTAACATTTATGATGATAACCGCATTCGTATCATGAAATGGTAGCAGGATTTTTATCATGGGTCAAGGTAAACTCCATTTTGTTTTTCTTTATTAAATAATATACAATATAAAGATCATATTTACAACAATTTACACAGGAAAATACTACATTTATATATAGTTTATACAATTCTCTGTAAACCAGTTTCACATCACAAAGGACGAGCCATAAACCCCAAATTTTATACTTACTTGATCCTGCCTCGCAAGAACTTCAATCTTTTGTCTACTGAGTAACCCTCCTGCCTGCCTATACACACAAAAAAAATGTAATCAGAAAGTAGCATAATTATTGTATTCTTAATTTTCTTGCATTTTATGTCAATATGAAACATTAAAAACCTCATTAAATCCACTCTAATGCTTGGAGTGGATTTAATGCCACATAAAGCTTTAATGCGTCTGTAACCCAGTTTACAAGAACTACTTTCTGCTTACAGAAATAAAATATATGGATATTTTTCTCAATTTCAGTACACTGATCACACCTATTGTTGTCCTTAATTCCCGACATCAACAACCTATCATTAGTAGAGAGGGTCTCATGAATATAGCAATACAATAGTTAACGTTGTTATGGGGCAATAAATTTAACATGACGGTTTGCCCATGTTATTCACCAGTTAAAAAGTGGATATGTCTCCTTTACTCGAGGAACTATATGTGGGAACAGAATATTATACACTTGTTTACTGTTCGTCATTAAAAAAACCTTTAGCATTACAAATCCACCTGAGAACATCAATTGCACAAGAATAAAAGTGAGGGAAAATAAAGGCAAGGTCAGTACAGTATACTCTGGCATATGTATTTATATCTAACGTATTTGACCAAAATAATGTCCTAAAGCATTTACACTATTCCTTTGCATTATTTCCTTTCTTAAGGTAACACATGAGATAGCCAATGACTTATGGTACACATTTAGTATCCCTATCCCACCGTCTTTCTTACCTTTACATAGTGAAGTCCATGGTTAAATGGTTGGTATCTGCCATACAAATATCTAAAAATTGTTTTGTCAATCTCCATAGCAATTTTCTTATCAATTAGAAAACTGAGAGAGAGAAATACTGTACCACACTTTAGACAAAGTTTTGCAATTGATAATTACAGGCTGTTGAAACAAGGTTAATTTTCTATTTTACAACACATTCATAGCTACTATTATATTTCTACATAGTACTTGCCAATTCGTAACCAATGTTGTTCCATGTGTTTTACACCAGCAAATCCCGAGTGCCTTAATAGACTCGACTACCTTGAACCATGAACCTGTCCAGGTATCTTTATTAAACCAACTGCCAAGCCCCATCATACACATTTTGTTCTTGTTAATGACAGCACCTGTTGCCCTCTTAAAGTTGTCTTTTCTCACCCTGAACATGCACCATTGAATTTTCTGTCGATACAAAAATAGTGGTATCGTCTGCATAACCAAAAACAGGAGATGTCATTGCATTGGGAAGAGAAGGTAGGACAATAAAGTCATTGCTTTTTATTGCCAAGTACAGAGGCTCTTGAAATATAACATACAAAATCATTAAAAGGGGACATCCCTGACATACCGACCATTCTATTGAAAATGGTTTGCTCAAGACACCATTGATACAAACGCTGCTCCGACACTGTTTATAAAGCATACGGATCCAATCAATAAATTCTTGTGCAACTCCTACCCTATCCAATATTTCTAATACAGACCAAATCTACACAGTAAAATAACAACGTACTGGAGTAAACGATATGGAAGAAAATGTAGAATAGAACCAGTGAAGAGCAGAGGTGCCATAGGCACAATCAGAGAACACTGTATAAACATCAGAGGTCCGCGGTTGTTCAACGTCCTCCCAGCAAGCATAAGAAATATTGCCGGAACAACCGTGGACATTTTCAAGAGGAAACTAGATTTATTCCTCCAAGGAGTGCCGGACCAACCGGGCTGTGGTGGGTATGTGGGCCTGCGGGCCGCTCCAAGCAACAGCCTGGTGGACCAAACTCTCACAGGTCAAGCCTGGCCTTGGGGAGTAGAAGAACTCCCAGAACCCCATCAACCAGGTATCAACCAGACTGAACATCAACCCAGTTCAGTGTTTTTGACCAATCAAGGTTTATCATGGAGGAAAGAACATTATTCTTAGACACAATACACAACATCCCTAATTATATTATTAATACTGATTATGGATCTTCCAGGCACACCACAGAACTGTTCCTTGGATGTAATTTTATCCATTACAATCTTAAGTCTTTTTGCTAACAATTTTGAAATTATTTGTAATCCTGGTTGAGCAAGGAAAGAGATCAGTTCGTTAGAATAGACCAATCACCTGTTTTTGGGAGCAGCTTAATAATCCAATGAGATTGTAACATGCTAAGATATCTATGCTGTATGCTATACTGCACCACTTGTATAAAGTCTTTACAAATAACATACCATGTTATTAACAAGGAATAACGTACCCTTGTTATTCTTGGTTTACTTAACAAATACTGTATGTAGAAAGTTTTTCACCATACATCCAATCATTAATCTGGAAGGGAACATTGACTTTCAGATATTTCAATCCCACATTATGTTAATTCTGTCCTTTAAAATGGTAATTTTGTCATACTTGTCTAATCCCATATTGACCTTTCAATAAAAGTTGTTTTAGTCTTGAGTTGTAATAAGGTTAAAAGGCCATATTTTTCAGCCGCTTTTCTTTTGGACACTTGCGAAAAAACTTTTGCAGGCAATTTTACGCACGTCTCACCACTCCAACAGACATTGGAACTTGTGTTTATGCCCAATCAGGTGTTTCCACAATACTTGAAAATTATCATATATAGTATATCTCTACTCTGCAACAGACTGCAATTGAGCTTCCATGACCATGTCCCTACTTTAAGGGGCCAGCCCTTGCTACATTTCGGTAACTCCTCGTGACCTTGGACACAGTAAACTTCAACAGCAATCACCTGCTCAGTTTTTTTCACAGACTTAATTTGGTAGCACAGTCTTTCATACGTCTCAAATTAATACTTTGGGTTAATATTTTCCCTAAGTGTCTTCACATGACTGGTTATACCCCCAGCTTTCACACAACCCTTACCCTTTCTACCAGACCTTACAGAGGAGGATGGAGTTGCCCTCTACGCAGACATTTCTTTGCCACTATCACGCATGGAGTCATCCTCTACATCCAATTGATAACCAATCACTTATAGGTATATACATAGGTATATATTACCTAAGTGGATATATAGGTAAACTCCATTACATCTACATAAGCCTATTATATCCGTATTTGCATCATACATGTAAAACCCAGACAATCATTTTTTAAATCTTAATATGATGATTACCGCATTACCCTGTAAATCAACAAATGACGATAATCGCTGTCTAAGGGTTCAAGTTCAAATTCAAGTATGTTAATTGAGACAAGAAAAAATACACTTCAAAGGGATAGAGTAGCTTAGGCTATTTCTACCCCTCTCTACTTCAAGTCCCTCAAGGAGCGCACAAATTCAGTGAGTACAAATACACAAATCACAATACTCGGTACTGTACTGTACAAGAATCACATGTAACATTGCAGGTTAATATACTAAGCACAGCATATAAGTGTTACACTCTTGGGGCAAAATTCTTGTAGCTCCTAAGTATACTGTCTATCATACCATTATCACATCCAAACAATTTGATGTGGTACACTACTTATTTCCTTATTTCTATAATTATCAACAAGTTAACACTCTAATACATGATGTTCTAAAGTGTGGGCGTGCGTGTCTAAGGGTTAAGTAGCTGCATTGTAAGGAAAACATAATAGTTCTCCACTGCTGCATTCTTTCTGGAAAATAATTTAAAAATGTTCTATGCAGTAACTAAAAAATTCACATTTTCATAAAATTAAGCTTCCTGTTAAAATAAGGCAGCATAGTTCCCTTGTAGATAAATTTATCTAGTGGGGAGTTTTTTGTATGTGTGATATCATTATTACAGTTTCATTAAACTTCATCGAACTTGGTGTACATATTCCCAAGTACCAGGTAATGATTGGGATAATTACTTTTTTTATAGCAAATTTTCTGCAGTTTAAGATCTTTTCCTTGCTATTTCTTGTGTATACCTAAAAGGAAGATAGTCATACTGAATGAATTTTATACCTCAAGGTTTTTCCTTAATACTTGATTGCATTTTTGCACACCTGAGAATGTATTCATATTGATATAATTTTATATATGATCCCTGAAAAATTAGTATTTAACCTCTATCTCTTATAAACTCAGGTTGACAGAATTGTGTACAGTATTTTCAAATCTTGTAATAAGGCTCGTCTGAAAAAAATATCATTGTACGTGTACCACCTTTAATACAATGACACACAGACCATACACTACACTGCACCCCACACACACCAGATGGAATACAGAATTATATGAACATGTTTGTTGATGTTGCTAAGATAATAGGGAAGATAAGAAACCTTGATGATTGGCATGCCCTTCAAGAAGACCTGGACAAAATAAGTACAGTGTATGGAGCACCACTTGGCAAATGGAATTTAATGTGAATAAATGCCATGTTAGGGAATGTGGAATTGGAGAACATATACCCCACACAACCTATAAATTATGTGAGAAATCTTTAAAAAATTCTGACAAAGAAAGGGATCTAGAGGTGGTTTTAGATAGAAAGCTGTCACCTGAGGACCACATTAAGAACATTGTGCGAGGAACCTATGCTACACTTTGTAACTTCAGAATTGCTTTTAAATACATGGATGGAGAAATACTAAAGAAATTGTTCACGACTTTTGTTAGACCAAAGTTGGAATATGCAGCAGTTGTATGGTGCCCATATCTTAAGAAGCATATCAACAAACTGTAAAAGGTGCAAAGACATGCCACTAAGTGGCTCCCAGAACTGAAGGACAAGAGCTACGAGGAGAGGTTAGAGGCATTAAATATGCAAAAACTAGAAGATAGAAGAAAAAGAGGCGATATGATCACTACGTACAAAATAGAAACAGGAATCGATAAAATTGATAGGGAAGAATTCCAGAGACCCGTAACTTCAAGAACAAGAGGTCATAGATTTAAACTAACGAAACAGCTGCCGGAGAAATATAAGAAAATTCACTTTTGTAAAAAGGGTGGTAGACGGTTGGAACAAGTTAGGTGAGAAGGTGGTGGAGGCCAAAGCCGTCGGTAATTTCAAAGCATTACATGACAGTGTGCTGGGAAGATGGGACACCACAAGCATAGCTCTTATCCTGTAACTACACTCTGGTAATTACCATACACTACACTACACTACACTCTACACCAACAAGAGGACAGATTCAAATTAAGGAAACAAAGCTACCAAAAATATCAAAAGTTCACTTTTGCAAACAGAGTGGTTGATGGTTGGAACAAGATAAGTGAGAAAGTGGTGAAGGCCAAAACTGCAGTACTGTAGTTTCAAAGCGTATAAGACTAAGAGTACTGGGAAGACGGGACACCACGAGCATAGCTCTGATCCTGTAACTATTCTTAAGTAATCACTAATAAGCAGCAGATTGAGGAAGAAAAGGACCTAGGAATTAGGATCTACCAGTCATTGAAAGTTGTACAAGAAATAGGAGCTGCAGAAAAAAAAAAAACAGGAATAGTCTTGGGGAACCTTTGACTTCAAGGAAAATAATTAATTTGGTATTCAATTGCACAAGTATCTGGTCTGCTGTACTCTAGAATGGAGCCTCACCTTCAAAATGACATGTTTGCTCTGGAGGAACTTCAACACGAAGTGCCAAAATTCATCCTAGGATTGGTTGAGGGGCAACAGAACTAACAACACTGCATACAGGAAATGAAAGAGCTGATTTCATCGAGAAAGGTAAAGTACAGTACTAAACAGATTACAGGATAATAATTCAGACCACTTTAAAAGGTCAAATGTTATTAATTTAATTCTATACAAGAAGGTACATAATAAATAGACTGTCTCCATGGCAGTCTCTGGGTTTGGAGTCCCAATGTCTTCTTATACCAACTTTGAGGTAAACTCTGGAGCCCCTAAGGTAGTACGTTGTTACCTTCAACCTTGTTCTGACAGTTCCTGCGACGGCGCTGGAACCAATCGTATTGGTGTTTGCCTTTCCATTGGAGACTTTCGGCGTCGTGAAGGGGGGGGGGGGACCTGCTGCATGGGTAACAGCTTCTTTCCCCGTATCAACCTACCCTGGCTTTGTGCCCTGGAGAGGCTACCCCAGACTGACAACCAGAGTGCAACTCCATAGTCTCCCGAGGAATGGATGCCTACTACTACTACATTGGGTTGTGAGAATGCATAACATTGGTGTTTGAGTACAGTACTGTATTATCATCTTGCAAAGCCACTAACACAATAGTGTTTCAGGCAGTAATGTAATGCATATACGAGGCAATGGTTTCAAGCTGAATGAATTACAATGTAGGACAGAAAACAAGATGCTTTTTTACCCATATGGTACACACATGGAACTGCCTACCTGTCAAAGCCATAAATGCCAAGATATTACTCGTTCAAAGTCTAGTAGGAAGAAATCTTCTAACAGTGGGGGAACCTTTTGGTAAACTACTAAACTTTTGGTACCTAAACTACCTGACCCTGTTCAAGGCCAATAAAGAAATGGTGGCCTTAAGTTAAATTCAGTATATTCACAGGCTTCCTATCTCCAACAAAATTTTATATTATTACAGTATTACCTAAGAGGGCCACCATCTCTAGAGGTCTCGACGGGGACAGGAGGCTAGCGGCTTGTCAAATACTCCGACATTGTTCCTGAGGATTTTTTCCAGCAGGATTTTGAACTAAAGTAGTGTTTTGCCATTGCGGTTTTAGAGGGTAGTAGGTTCCATGGGTCTAGTATATTAATTAATGCACATTCAGTCATCAATGATCTCCCACCACATATTATGTCGAGATACTTGTAATTTTATAATCATCTCATTCACTGAAGGATATTAAAAGATACCAGTTTCTTCATAGTACACAATACACCCAAAGTTACTATAGCGTTTGCTAGTATAATTCAACACGCCCCAACCTGCGAGATGAGAATATTAGATGAACTTATAGCTAACTTTTGACCTATACCCTGTAACCCCCCCTCATATACAATATGGGGGTATTTAATGACGTGTACGTAAGCTTGGTAATAAAAAATGCACACTAGTTTCCTTTTAAGAGAGTTTACAACATTGTACATAGCCTTCCCGGTTTGGTGGCTTCCTTTGATAATTACTTACAGCATTGTACAATGAATCAAAAATAATAAATATAAAATTATTAAATGTAACATATTGTACTCTATATTGTTTTACAAATGTACATTATTTTTGTTGTTAATATTAGTAACTTCGACTGACAAGAATCAATCGCCGGACGTAATTTGAAATTGCCGCCCAAAATGGAAACCTATCATTTGATCTTTATGCTATCTTAATTTTTGTAAATAATTCATTTCTGATTTTTTATGGACTGTATTTTATGTGTATACAACCCCGAATACATAACGTTTCAATATTTTGACTGAAATATAAAGAATAAGTACTCATTTGAATTTGAAGTTCTCAGCTGATTGAAGACAACAATTTTGCTGGAGTAACATTCAGGTGTGGCCGGACCATTGTTGTTAATAGCATTTGCCTCATGTTCCCTATTGCCTCTACTTTCTGATGCGGATATATGTTGGAAGAATGCATATTTGATGAGAGACACGCTGTTAGGAAATATTGGGATCATAGGACTCCTGAAGGGCAGCAGGTGGGGGTGGCTCTCGAGTGCCTTCGGGTGTAGCTCACCATCGGAGGCCAGCCAGACCTTCACCCTGAGACACACCTGCCACACCTGCCAGGCACAACCTCACGCCAGGAGCCATGGGCTGGTGATGTCAACGTTATCCATGATCACCTGCCTCAAGTCCACACTTAAGTAGGTAAGGAGAGCATTGTCATTATGGGTTCTACAGATACGGAGTTAATTGTTGACTTCAGCATAAAGGTTGGTCTGCTTGTCAGTTGCTCTAAATGGTTCACATGGCACCCTTCATTAATGATTTTGCTTGAAATCATATTCTTGTGTTAGTAGTGATAATATTTGAATGCTTAAGTTTTCTAAGCCTCGACCTGGACAGGAGGGTGTTGTCCAGAAATGAAAGACAATTGAGTCATAAGAATGAAGTTTAAGTGTTCTATATGTATGATCTGCCTGGTTTAGACCTATGCCACAATATTAGTCATAGAACTCGGATGTATGAGTTGTGAACACTAAAGGAGTTCGATGTTTTGTCACAGAGAAAAAATGGGAAACATGATCATCACATATTTGTTATTTATATACATACAAGGAACCTGAGGGCCATTAATACTAGGAGTATTGACGAGGACAGGAAGCTGGCGGCTTCCACGGGTTTATAATCCTGTGGGTGAAAAACATGTCCCGTTTACAATTTTACATTGTGGCTTGTTGAGTTTGAAACCGTTGCTCCTTGTTTGTGTGACATCTGACATTTTGAAGAAATTGTCTGGAGCAACGTCATCCAAGTTGTTCAGTATTTTAAAAGTTTCGATGAGATCCACCCTCTTATGCCTGGTTTGCAGTGTTAGCTCAGAGGCCCTCAACCGTTCCTGGTACGAGAGTTGACTTAGTTCTGGAATGATTTTTGTTGCCTGGTGTTGAACTTTCTCCAAAGCAGCTATGTCTCTGAAGATGAGGTCTTCATGTTTGGATACAATAATCCAAGTGGGAGCACTCCGGAGATTTATATAGTTGAATCACTACCTTCTTTTCCTTTGTCAAAGTTATACTTACTTGATTATCCCTATGGTTTGGTTAGCCTTTTTTTCTCTCTTTTTCCTCTTTTTTTTTTTTTTTTTTGAGATATATACAAGAGTTGTTACATTCTTGTACAGCCACTAGTACACGTAGCATTTCGGGCAAGTCCTTAATCCTATGGTCCCTGGAATACGATCCCCTGCCGCGAAGAATCGTTTTTTCATCCAAGTACACATTTTACTGTTGCGTCAAACAGAGGCTACAGTTAAGGAATTGCGCCCCAGTAAATCATCCCCGGCCAGGATACGAACCCATGACATAGCGCTCGCGGAACACCAGGCGAGTGTCTTACCACTACACCACGGAGACTTTGCTGCTCATACCTGTTATATAACTTTCAGTGAGTGGTGGATTTTTATTTCTAGGTTCTTTTCTTCATCAGTCTGCTGCATGGTAATGTTATTAATTTGGTAGTTGTGATGTGGGTTATTATATCCCCACATGCAAGGTCTTGCATTTTTTATATTAAAAAGCATTTACCAGTCTTCTTACCATTTGTAGAGTTTATGTAGATCTCTTTGTAAGGCTTCAATATCATTTTCACTTCCCACTTTACCATAAATCTTAGTGTAATCTGTACATTTTATATGGTTTGTAATAGTCTCATCTTTGTCATTGATGTATGTGAGGAAAAGGGTTGATCCCAAATTGGACCCCTGTGGTACCCCACTCACCTCATTTCTCCAGTCAGAGTCATTCCCATTTAGCACAAACCATTGTGTTCTTTGCTTAACTTTGATTATTTTATCCATTCTAGTATTCTGCCATTTATTCCATGTGCTTGTAATTTTGTTCCTACTTTTTTATGTGGTACCTTATCTAAGGCTTTAGCAAAATCCATGTACAATATACTACATCCAACAAAAGACCTTTGTCTAAGTAGCTGGTTACTGTTTCCAAAAATGTGAGCAGTTTTGTAAGACAGGATCTATTTTTAACAAACCCATGTTGTCGATTTTACAAGAGTGTTCATTAAAAGATGGCGAGTGATTCCCTTCCTTAGGATTCTTTCCGTGAGCTTGTAGATGTGTGATGTCAAGCTGATCGGACATTAGTTTTCTGCTGAACTCTTTCTGCCTTTTTTAAAATAGGGGTGACTTTTGCATATTTCCAATCTATGGGTACTATTTCTTGGTCCAGAAATTTTCTGAAAAGCAGAGTCGGCAAAAGGCACAATTCCTCTGCTAGCTCCTTTATGATTTTGGATTGAATTCCATCCACACCTGGGGCTTTTGAGTCTTTTTAGTTTGTCAGTGTTCCTGATTATGTCGCACATTATGGGTATATCCCCTTAATTCATTCTCTTCACCTCCTTCATACATTCAAATATGTCAACAACAAAGTGATAATAAGATGACTCATCACTCCATACAACTATCTTAGCCAAGCCCTGAGGCAACATTGAACACCTAGTTAATAAGGGATTAAGACTGTGGTTCCCAAAATGGCATATATTGACCCCTAGGAGTCGATGGAACTGAGCAGAGGATCACTAAATATTTAGGGGCTGAAGGGGTAAATTAAAGGTCAGTAATTTCTCGTGAGTCGAAAAGTGAACTATCGTACAAAAGCCCATGGTTGGTACTCTTGGTATTGTAAAGGGCTCGAGAAAGAAGGCAACAACCCAACCTAATCTCTCCTAGATCTAGTATAGTACATACATACACTATAATAAGCACAGTATATTAGGGCCTTGGATGGTTAGGTTAGGGTGTTACATTTTCTTGTATGTCTTTTGGAATACCCGGGATGAATAGTAAAAGCACAGACCTCTAAGAGTACTTATATTAGACTAACAGCAAATTACTGTAGCAAGTCATTCGTTATACCACATCTCTGATTTGTTGTTATCATTACAGTACATCATATCAATATAATATACAGTACCTGTACATCAATATAAATTATATTGATTTTGTAATTTTTTGTTTTTTATTCCAGTAATTACAATGGCAAGTATCAAAGTCCCTGAACAAAAAATAATATTGTGTGGAGAGTATGGCGTTGGAAAAAGTTCACTATTCCGACGTTATGCCACAAATACATTTGTTACAGCCACAGATAGGAAATCTACATTGGGATTAGATCATTATGAAAAAGTTTACATTTCTGGAGACAAAGAAGTAAAGGTATGTGTTTATATGCATATGTTGTTAAAATTTAGAAATGTTATTTAAATTAAAACAAATCACAAAATTAAATCTCCTTTGCATATACTGTATAGTATTTATCTTGATAATGAAAGCCTTATACATATTAAAACCTACTTGGTGTATATTTTTTAAATATGGACTAAATTGTAGATACTGTGCTGAAAATATTAATATCCACTATGAGATGTATTACTTCTATAGCATTTCAACCATATCATATATATCAGACATATATATCAACTTTGTGGCAAGTACACATAAAGTTATTGAAATGTCATTATTCTCATCTATTTTCTCAGCACATGAATCTTAGACAGGGATGAGTAATTACTGTATTTGATGCAAGGAATTCTTCAAGAGTTTTGGTAAGTTCTAAAATTACCTGAGTTTACCAAAACTTATGCAGGGGTCATTGTGTTCGGTGAACATACACATTTTATCACCTTGTGGCTTACTATCATATTTGTTTTTGGGCTTTATTCGGTAATTCTTGTGATATTTCTAATCTTCCGAGTTGGATGGAGGCCACTAATAACTATAGCAACACTTGGTTTTTTTTTTTTTTATAAGATTACTGCATTGTGTGTTCACATTACTTTCAGCTTCAGCTTTGGGACACTGGTGGTATGGAAAGAGTAGCCAGCATAACATCCTCTTATTATAAATTTGCTGAGGGAGCAATTCTGGTGTTCGCACTAGATAATCCTGACTCCTTCAATATCCTCTCACAGCATCTTCTCGATATTGTAACATATGCAGAAAATGCCAAGATCTTCCTCTGTGGTAACAAATATGATCTAAAGAGTCAAATTCAAGTCACTGATGCTGATATGGAAAATTTCTGGTAAGCATATGTTTATTTCTCTAAAGGGATTAAATGGAACATTTGCAGCTGTTTATAGATCTCTATTCATCATTCATTTTTTAACTTAATGACATGGAGCAGATACACAAAGCCTATGTATTCAATTGAAAATAAGTATATAGTATTTATTTACTTCCCCTTTGATCATTAGTATACATTGGTTATTAACCTCTGCACTTCACAAGTATTTCAGAAAACATTGTGTGTGTGTGCAAGAAAAATTCCCCCCAAATTATATTGTTTTTATAGTAATATGCTTTCCCTGATCATAGGAAAATTAAAATAAAATTTTCAAGTAAATTACTTTCACTGTAGTGAAAGTGAAATTTAATTTAAAATTTAAAAAATAAGATATAAATTCTGCAATTAATAAAACTTAAAATTCCATAGTAGGTATTGTTGTTTGCTGTAGAGTATCAGGAAGTACAGCATGTAACTAACAAGCTATTAAGCATGAAAGAGCTTTTAGAAGTTAAGCAAGATACTGATGTGTTGTAAAAACAAATTCATTTGTCTAGCTTTGTAGCAGATGATTGATATGTATACAAAAATTATTTATTTTATGCTGTATTGAATTATTACTAAATATAATTTTTTTGCTTGCGTACTCCATTACAGTGAACAGTGTCACAACCTTATATCTGGAATATACAAGACTTCTTGCAAGACTGGTGCAGGTGTAGAAGAAATGTTTGCTGACATAGCAAGACAACTTAGTGATTCAAATAGGTCTCGAAAAGAACTAGAAACCATGAACAAAGATTCTTTTAAAGTGACTCCTCCAGAAGGTGAACCTGAGGATTCATGTTTATGCTGAGGTGAATCACATGGAAACTAGTTAACTACACTATCTTAAGGTTAGTTTAGATGAACTTCCTCAGCAGTTTTGTACTAGATACTGCAGTAATGTAAAGCATGCAGTATGTAATGATCTGTTAATCTCATAAGGCCTAATAATTTGATCAGCAAGCCAAAGGAATGGCTTGCATATGGAATGGAGAGATGTATATTGCCTAGCATACATAACTGATCATATGTTAATTATTCAACTGTCATTTAGAGGAAGATTTGTCAAACTTAATATGATTGTAATGAAAAGTTATATAAAACTACTCTGTGGGGGGCTTGCCCAAGATAGTTTGATTTACTTTCAATGTTAATACTTCCACTACACTGATTGTAGCAGTAGTTGAGTTATGAATGTTCAAATAGAGGAATTATTGTTTATTTAAGAAATTGTAATTCATAAAGTAAACAATAGCAATTATTTAAATTTTGCAACAGTAGCTGCAATTTTTTCTGGAGGAACCCCTAGTGGTTCTCTCTGTGCATTGAGATGGTTCCCGTCTACTAGGTCGCATCAGTCATGGAGTTTTGTAGGCGTCTTGGGAACCAGAGCCAGAACCTGGCTCTTCACAGAGGTGCAGGGAGCAGTGACATTTTGCCACCTCACTGGGACAGGCAACCAGAAAGTCAGTGAGTCAAAACAAACCACTGTTGGATTTAGAGAAATTGAAACCTCAAAATCCACTTAATGAACGCCCCCAACTATGTAAACAAACGATTGAATTCTCTCGAAACTAGCGCAAACTCATTTGCGCCGCTTTCCCCAATTGGTTGAGGGAAAGGGGGAAATAGCTCGCTTCCTGCTGGGGCCTGTGTTCTCGGTTCTATTGCTGATGTAGTGTTTCCCGGGTCACTGCTCCTCCCTCTAGCTAGTGTAAGTGATGTGGTGGTTGCTCAGGGTGATTGTTCCTGTACACTGTAGTGTAGCATGAGCCTTGCTTTGAGAGTGCTTGGAGCTACATGTGCTCATGGTTCACCTTCCCTGTGTTTTCCCTAGTGTGGCCCTTGCATCATCAGTTTTCTCTGGAGTGTTCTGAGTCGCTCCCTCAGAGGTCCTCCCTTGTGGTGGCCTTCATCTAGGGCGAGTCAGGGGTCATGTGGTTTATTGTCATGACCTAGTGCGACATTGGCTAGAGAGTTTCTGGAGGCCCAAACTGGGCCTACAGAAACACCCATTGAATTCAGTAGAGTTTTGGGTTGGTTGCCTTTTGTCCTGTCATGGTCAAGTGGGCTAAAGCAGGTGTTTGGGAATCGTGAGAACACCAGTTCAGGTCACCCTATTGCCCCAAAATGATTTTGACAAAAATGAAGAGATCAGTGATTCTAGCATGAATCTTCTCTATTTTTCTTACATTTTTCTTTTCTAGAGAGGGAAGTTGAAAAACTAACTCTCCAAAGTTAATTTTTTACAATTTTACTTGGCCTGATACTAAGAGGTGCATTTCGTTAACTCTTGTTAACATTATCACAGGCAGAGTTTGAATGGTTACAAAATTTTCTGCTGTTGGATATATAGCTGAGGATGAAGTGAGGGTGCAGTATCTCATTTATGGACCAATATGTCCATTACATCTTGCCAATATCCTATGTTCTCATAATGGCTAGGGCAGTATATTGTATGTTTCATCGTGTTCTCGAAGATGGCAAAGTGTAATTTGGTATTAGCTGGGTGTTGATAGATGGCTAGGTTTGATATATGATTCTTTGCCACTGTCCAATCTTCTATTGTTCCTGTATTTGTCAGTTATTTTGGTGCTGTTTGTCAGGATATCTCAGGTGATGATATGGTTATGTTTAGAGACTATATGTTCCTTGATAGGGCCTTGCTCTTGGTGCATTGTTAGGCACCTTGAAATGGATGTTATCTTGACTATATATATTGAGTTCGTTGGGACTGACAGTCCCCAAGTAAGCATTTGAAGGCATAGACAACATTCGTCTCTTTCAAGGGGTTTGGTGTCGGGAGAGTTTTTCATAAGCAAGTTGGCAGTCTTCTTGCTCTTATAGTATATTATTCAATCTTCTGGTTGGTGTTAGTAGGTGTCACATTTCTATCAATGTTTTTTAGTACACACTTTTTGGTTTTGTTTTGTGGGCTGTGGAGCCATTCTTGGAGAATATTTTAATAGTAGGAACCGGCGATGTACTGTTGTTCGTCTTGTCTGAGTTTACATGGTGGCGTCCCTTCCTTTTGATGATCTCTTCGACATATCCATTAGAGTATCCATTATTGACTAGGACCTGCCTTACTCTACTGAGTTCCTCATCAACCTGCTTCCAACTGGAGCTGTATGTTTGCATTTTTTAATATCCCGTAACATAGACGGTGCTACATAGTCTTCCTGGCTTGACACCTTCTTTTGATAAATATTTTATTGTAAATTCATGATGCATCTTAACGGTAGTAAAAGTTGGTGAAACATTTAATTTCACTGTTTTCTTTTTCAGTTTGGGAGAGCAGTAGACTGATCATCCCATGCAGCTGTCTTTGTTCTCCTGATATTCAGTATACCCATTTTCTTTAACCAGCTATAAAAAGATTTGTACAGTACCGGTACATCTAAATGTGGATGTATGTCAGCTGTTTTTTATGTACCTTTTTGTGTCCTGCCAATTTTATATAGGGTCTTATAAAATTAATTTATAAATCTAAATATTGTTTATTTTTTAAATTCATAATGTACTGTACTATGGACTTCCCGTGTATGATTACAGTACACTGTTATACTGTCTATTAAAATCTGAAAGAGAATGCAGTACTTTTTGTTAGTTATCAGGAGTTTGTTTCACTCATACACACACACTCAGGTTTCAGTAATTCCTGAAACCGGCAACTTCACGAACAAGAGGACACAGTTTCAAGCTAAGGAAACAGAGGTGCCGAAAAAAACATTTGAAAGTTTCTTTTGCAAACACAGTGGTGGACGGTTGAAACAAGCTAAGTGAGAAGGGGGTGGAGGCCAAAACCGTCAGTAGTTTCAAAGTTTTATACGACAGAGTACTGGAAAGACGGGAAACTACGAGCTTAGCTCTCATCATGTAACTACACTTGGGTAATTACATACACACACACACACACATTAATATTTAAGGCATGGCATTGTGCATCATAAGATGCTTGTGTATACTATATTTTGTATTTATGAAGAATTTTTACCTTCTAAAGGAAGTTCATTGTACTAGTCTGTCAGTTTTAATTTTTGTATTATTAGAGAAGGGTCCACTTAATTGTTATATGCATAAGTCATGTATGAAGTTCTTTAGCTGTTGTACATGAATAGTATTTTCAGGAGGAAATTAAAATAGAAGTACAGTACATCAAGCCTCAAACCTATTTCAAATAATTGATACCTTTCACACAAACAAATTTAAAAATAAATATCATGGTTTTCATATTTTTTCTGGCAGGTTCCCCCTCCCCTCTCTCTAGCTTCCTGAGCTACCCACCTGGAGTCCTCCAAATGCAGGGACCACACTATGCTCTAACAAATCACGAGTGCCTACCTGAAAACCAGGACCAGAACATGGCCTACCTGCAACTACTGTATATTAGAGAGGGAAAAATGCCAGAGAGGTGGAAAACACCAAAACAAGCAACTGCTTGGATAACATTTGCAAACCTGATCCGAACTCTCTAACTCTCGTTGGCTTTGGGGATCAACGTCCCTGCAGCCAATCAACTGCCCCAACCCTTACCATCATATAGCAGCCCTAGCAACCCAGGGTGTCTGATGCAGCTATCTCAGGCATTAACTGGGTAACTGTTGCATAATAGTGCGGTCATCTGGTGTAACATCATTCAGTCAAGTGTTGGTCATACAGTGGATTCTATCCTGCACAGAGGCCTGTGCTTTTCTTTGTTCCTTTTCTGCTTCGTGCATGTGTCTTTCTTGCCGACCTGTTGGCTGTGCCTTGATCACTTCGCTTTGGCTGCATGTGGCCAGAATTATCTTTTCTGGTTACCCGTTGGTATTGCCCCTACCCTTGATCATACTGTAGTTTTCTTTCCTGAGAGGGTTCGGGAGTCTACACCTTGAGGTTTACTCTTTTCGAGGTGCCTCACCACAGGTAGTACAAGTGCTTCAGCTCCTCTGCAGGGCTCAGTGGTTCGATTGTGCAGGGAGTTAATTATCTTCAGAGGTTAAGCTGCAGGTTTGATGCCAACTTCTACTCTGGTGGCAACTTGTACTTCCCTTCACCATGTTTTCCTAGATTTGGGGTTGGTATAAGTCTTCAAGAATGTTCCTCAGTCCAGTCTCCTTGATGGTCTATCTTGTATTGGGTGCTGGTAGTTTTCCCGCAGGTCTCATTTACGGGAGGTTCTTCTGCTGCCACCTTTGCTGTTGTGGTTTTTCTGGGCTTTTCTTGGTTTTTATGCTTTCCACTGGTCACCCTTCTGTCTCCACCAAGTCTGCCTGCAGAGTTGAAGGATATTTTCATCCCCTATTTTTTGTAGACCTGTTCCATCTGCTGTTTTCTTTGCTTCTTGGGCCTGGGCGGTTATTCTGGTTAATTTCTCATGGCTCTTCTGCACCCCTCCCATCACAGTCAGCCCTTTTGTAGTTTTACTCTCTGTCATGAGGTAGATCAGGAAGATGCAGAGGGAAGCTCTCCCAGAAATCCAGCATGGAATGTAAAGAAATGCCTCTTTCTGGCAGATCTTTTCTGTATCTCTATTCATGAACTTCCCTTCTCTCCATGATGTTAGGGGGGAATCTTGTTTTTGTGTTACGTGAATGACTAGTAACTGACTCCTAGGTTTCCGGGGCTGCCATCTAGTGACGAGGGCATGAAGATGTCTAGTAGTTGGTTGTGGACAGTGAGTGTGTATGTACTGTACTGTACTTCAAATTAGGGTTGCTAATGCTGTAAATGCTTCTGCTTGTTTTGGTGCATTCTGACTTTGTTGGCTTTTCCTTTGGTAATGTGGTTTATCTAATATACCCACTTCCGCCGTGCCTCTCTTGAGAGGACCTTTTAGTTCTGGCTTCTAGTATGTGCTCATGATTCATTAAAGATTGATGTGGTACCTGAATTTGGAGGACTCCAGGTGAGTAGCTTGGGAAGCCATGGAGGGGCCTACCAGGAAGAGTTTTTATAACATTGAATACTAGAATTTTTATGTTGCTTCTTTCTGTGCTTTTTAGTTATTTTATTTTAAAATAAATTTTATTTGAATGGTGACCCAAGGAACCAATCAACTCCATTGATTGGTTCTACTTAGAACCAATGTTCTACCTTTACTTAGTTTAACTGAAATTCATTAATTTATTAATTACTAAATTTGAAAAATGCTTAATAAATCCTGCTGTATTAAGTCCTGGTTTGCTAGCAAGCAAAATGAATTATCCTAGACTTGTTGCTGTTTTACCCAGCCTTTATTTGAGGAATTGTGTAAATATCGTGAGCCTTCCGACATATACAGCCAGGATTTATGATAAAAGGTTACGTTATAGACTTATTCATATTCATTCATTCACTGGATTTTGAGTACTTAACAAGTATGATGGTTTTTATATTTTGTAAAAAAACTAATCATCATTGCTTAAATTAGTTTGATGTACATGTATGTAGTTTTTTTTTTAGCAGCATTTCAAAAGAATATATGGTTGTTTGCAGTAAATTGTATGAGCAGGCATTAAATTTATAGTTACATAATAATGAGACATCATTTACATACTTTATGTATTGCTATTGTCTGTGTGTTTCCAAGTATTCTTCACTAAATTTTTAGCTTTAATCTATATCATTAGGGATCATGCCATATAATAAAAAAAAGTAATTGTTATTGCGTCTGTTAGCTGTCCTGTATGCCAGTTGTGTTGAATGATATCTTGAATAGGTTTTATAAACGTTTTATAAGAAATTATCTACAAAGAATTAAAAAATGAAACCTCAATGAATGGGATTTGCTTCTATGTGTGTTAGACTGTGTGAGACAAAAGTTTGAGCATACTGTACTTAGAAGTTATTTATATATTATGCAATGATTGAAAAGCTTGCAAAAATGTAAGGAGATACACAAATGCAGAGAAACAGAGTAAGGGATCAAAATGTTGGTGTTCTCAAAACATTTGTATACAAGATGCTGCTGTACTACTTATAGCAATTAATAACTTAAAGTTCATGAAAAGTCTTTTATTCCACTCAGTTTTTGAACTCTCTACCCCATTGTTATTTTGGCATTCTCTTCTCTTGATTACTTAGGCACCTGAAACATTAGTAGCCATGATTGTAGGACTATTTAGTCATTTGTTCATTGATACACCCTAAACAGCTTTACTAATTGATGTTAGCTGGATTGAAGCCATGTTAACAGACTTGGAGAGTAGTAGAACTTTCAAAATTGACCATAGGTAAACTACAGTATAAATGGCATATTATACATAAGCACAGATGAAAAAAATTGCTAAATTAATATTTTAACTTGCTGTAAGGTGCCACATAGTCTCCCGGCTTGGTGCCTTCTTTTGATAATTACCAGCTGCATGTGAACCAAACACTTGGATAATTTTCTTAATGAGTGAAGATATCAAAACTTGAATAAATATTGTTTCATAAGATATATAGTAATTATGTTGTGCCATTCTTTATTTTTTATTTGTACATGTTCAGTAATACTGTGTGTAAAATTTTATTTTTTTATGTGTACTGTATATTAATATGGAAAATATTAATACTGTAATTTATTATTTCTGTTGCTGAGAATCATCATAAATTAATTACCATAATGTACACAATATCTAGTAGTCAGTCAAAATACAAAATAAGTTGAAATAGGCAGGAAAGATGTACCAAATGTAACATTAATACACATCTCTCGTGTAGGATAGCATCTTTGGAGGTAAGAAACTGCACAGTAGTTTAGTCTATGACCTTTACAGACAAGTATGGTAAAGCCAATCCATTCAAGCTCCACAACCCAACTTAAATCACGCTGGTAGTACATGAGTTGGTGTACTATGGCAAACCTTTAGGAAAAGTTGACTGTAAAACAAAACAAAAAAGACTGCAGATGAATTTAAAAAACAAACTATAAAGTCACAGCACTCATAAAGTAACTGTGATATATCCAGCAACTCAATTGTTTAATATGATATAGCTTATAAATAAAGCAAACGTATAATAAAGCAATGGTTATACTGTACAAGCGCCGACAACTTCTAGAGATGAATCATACTAGAGCATTGCTGTATAAATAATATGTAACATCTGCAGTAGACTAATTATTACAAATGTATTTAAAGTGAAGGTATCCTTACTAAGGTTGCTTTTCTCTACTCATGCATATACAGACTTGACCAGCAAAATACCTAACATCTAACATTTATGAGCATTATTTCTTGAGTTTTCATACCCATTATGTATCCATCATTTATAATCTGTAGCACTGTACTCCTCTGCCATTACATGGGACGCATTACCCAAATAAATGTCTTAAAAGTTTACAGTTTGATATTAATGTAGGGCCACAACTTAACAGCAACTGAAGGGGTTTATATTGCAGGGAATATTATATATTAATTTTTGATGACTAAATCACCCATCAGAAAATTAAATAACATTTCAGTCCATCTTGAATCATTAACGAGGTGTAATTACACGACACGATAATGATGCAGGACAGACCGAAACATCGTCATATTTTTATTTTCTGATGTATGGTTTGGTCGTCATATCTTCAGCTTGTTATTGTGACATCGTCTGCATATTAATTTGTATTCTATGCAAAAGTAAAGCTTTCCTTGTTATAACTTTGTATTTAAATTTTTTTTTATCACTACTCTGACAAGCAACAGTTAAAATATTGAGGTTTCAATAATTGTAAAATACATATTGCAGATTTACATTACTGCAATAATGTTTCAATAAACCTGTATACAAAACTAATAAAATACTGTAATGTGGAAAATTTATAATGAATTCCATAAACATTTTGGACAATGTTTGTATTGTATTAGTTTTGCATTTAATATTAATGTAAAAATATTGAAAACTTTTGCTATTTATTTGATTTAAAAATCAAAATACATCTGTAAACAAAGTTATAAGTTGGTAATTATTTTATGCATATACTGATTCCATAATGTCAAAAATAGTACCAAAGGCAAGCTGTGCAATAATGCTTGGTGATTTGTATTATTTACTATATAGCAGTGAGTACTTTACCTTGTAGCCGTAATCAAATGGAATACATCACATGCTTTAGAGAAATTAGATACAAAATATAAAATTTAACATCATAATGTAACTCGTAGGAAAGCTATAAGAATTTATTCATTAATGTTACACTTGGATTAATTTTTTAATTTATATACAGCTCATTTGTGGTGTTTATAATATTTATTATTATTATTATTAACCAACAACAAGGCTAATAGGAAGGTAATCTAAACAGAATATTTTCCGCTTAAGATAAAACATTTTAGGTCTAAACATTTATTTCTTCATAGATTAAGCTACTTAAATCTACTACTAAGCTACAATCATGCTACTTAAACCATTTCTATTTTTGAAAGCAGTATTATAATCTAAAAAGTTTAACATGTAACCTTAAACATGCAATATGTTTAACCATTGATTTGAATGTGAATATTTCATAATATATTACAGTAATTCATGGTTTCTAATAAACTTCTTAAAATATTTGAATATGCTGTAAAGGGATAGACTACGTTGTTCTAATATCCTAAATCTACCATTTTTTAACTTTTTACATATTTCAGAAGTATGTATCTGAATTTGACAAAAATGTGATACCAAAGAGTGCCATACCTCTGTTAGTAACACTACAAAGTTCCAATACATGCGAGATTAGTTTGGTCCTGTGGTCAGCCGAGGTTGGAGATGTTTTACTGTCTGTGGTATACCCAGAGTTGCTATTGGCCAGCACTATTATGTCAGTAGACCCGGTCTTGTTAAGGTGCATGCTTGCTAGCCTTTTTTTTTTTTTAACACCGGGGTTTGCCATTGTACAAAACTTTGGAAGATGGCATGAAGGTCTAAATAATGTTAAACTTGATGCCAAATCTAAGAAGTATGGAAGATCTCACTTCAAGTTTTTTGTTATGAGAAATACTTTCAAACAAATGCAGGGAAGATAATTATGTTTCTCAGTGGTGCCAAGATCCATATAAGGTGCTTATATACGAATAGCTCTTATATAATCCGCTATTTTATTTGTCTAAAATGACATGTAATTTGAAGTGAGAATTCTGTATATGCTATAATTGCAGTTCATGTTAAACATAAATTTTTTAATACTTTTCTATGTACTGTAAAGATTATGGACAACTTATTTATAACTCTTGTAATGAAGTTTACATTTTATAGTGCTTTGCCATCATTAGTATGAAATAACTTTCATCAAAGAAATACCACTGAAAATATATATATATAAATTTAACTACCTTTCTATTTCTCTGTATCCTTATATTTAATAGACAATATACTTAGTTATGTATGACACACTTGATTGTGAAGAGATAAAGTTGAAACAAAACTGTGAAATATAATTATGGTGTGCAGAACATTGATATATATTTACATTTTTAATTTTTTGTCACCTGATCTGTGAATATCTTTGTTTGAAAGAAAAAGTTTATCTTTGATATATATTTTCTTCAGTATTTTAACATGTTTTTGTTCTGATTGCCTTCCCACTTCACAGGAGAGTTAATGCCCTAGTGCTTAAAAACACATTATTTTGAATATAATAAAAATAAAATATAATAAAAAATATATATTATATATATATATAAATAATATAATATAATGATAATTTATACTGCTCAGAGGATGGAGTATGGGGTGCAGCGGTCAAAAAACTAACCAAACTCTTGTAATAATCAAGCGTACTTTTTACTATAAGGAGAAGGTAATGGCTCAACTGTATAAATCTGGTGTTCCGCTATTTGAATTACTGTATCCAAGCATGGAGACCTCATTTTCAGGAGGACATACTGTAGCTGCTCTGGAGAAGGTGCAACACCAGGCAAAATAAGTCATTCAAGAGCTAAGTCATCTCTCATATCAGGAACGCTTAAAGGCCACAGGGATAACAACACTGCAAACAAGGCATGACATGGGAATCTCATTGAAACTTAAAATACTGAACAAGTTTAGAGGATGTTGATCCGGATATTGTCTTCAGAAGGTCAGATGTAACACAAACGGTTTCAAGCCCAACAAGCCACAATTTAGGACAGAACAGGAGATGCTTTTTCACCCACAGGGTTATTAACCATGGAACTACCTACCCGCCGAAGCCGCAACAGCCAAAACTGTGTTGAGTTTTAAAATATACATGGAAAAGATCATCAAGGCAAATGGCGGGGACCTTCGACAAGCCGCCGACATCCTGTCCTCGTCGAGGTCACTGGAGTTGGTGGCCCTCAGGTGAATCAGGCGAATATATTTCACCCCTGCTGAATCGAGGACTCTATGGCCATTACCATACTTCAAGTCTTATCTCGTACTTGTGGGAATCTGACGCACACACTTCTTCTATGCAATTTAAACTTGTACGGCGGCCCTGCCTAATCCTCTGCCTCTCCTTTGGTTCTTTGTCGTCTTGATGCTTTGCACCATGCTGGGTTGCGCCTCAGCTCTGGTGCATTTTGTTCGTTCCCAACCCAGAGCTTTAATGATGAAACCGACGTCTGTCTTTACAGGAGCATCGTGATCATTACCGCCTTCGCATGGTCTCTGCAACATCCACATTCTCGCTTATGCCGAGCTTTAGCTGTTATACCTCAGGTAGGCCCTGTTCTCTTTTACCACCTTCCTTTTATTGCAAATATGTCTCACTTGCAATCTTCCCTCTCGGTTCGTGTTTGCAATGTCTCACCTCGTGTCGTTCCATCTTTGCCCCCATGGAGGGTCCCATTTGCAAAGTTTTGCAGGACCTTGACCCACGTAGGAAAGGCTTCTTCCCTTCCAAGGGTTATGAAACGGCTTATTCTTGAACACTGCTTCTCACTCACGTTCCATTGCCGTCTTTACAGATGGGTCTAAGTCTGTCGACGGTGTAGGCTACCCCGTTGTTTTTCCTCACCTTTACGTGCTATTTAATAGAATAGATATATTATAATATTTAATAGAGCGCTGCTCTGCTTCTTACTGTCCAAACTGCATTGGCCCACCTGAAGTCGCACCATGTGGAATGTTCCTATTTTCAGGACAATGTCTTGCTTTCCTAATGTCCCTCGACAAAATCCTTGGTGAATGTGGTACCCCTAATATCGCTCGCCATGTGTTTTTGTTATATTAGCATCCTCAGCGGGGATTCCACTGGATCAACTAATTCTTATAAGAACAAAGGTAACTGCGGAAGGCCTATTGGCCCATACGAGGCAGCTCCTATTCTATAACCACCCAATCCCACTCATATACTTGTCCAACCCGTGCTTGAAACAATCGAGGGACCCCACCTCCACAATGTTACGCGGCAATTGGTTCCACAAATCAACAACCCTGTTACTGAACCAGTATTTACCCAAGTCTTTCCTAAATCTAAACTTATCCAATTTATATCCATTGTTTCGTGTTCTGTCCTGTGTTGATACTTTTAATACCCTATTAATATCCCCCCGGTTATGTCCATTCATCCACTTGTAAACCTCTATCATGTCACCCCTAACTCTTCGCCTTTCCAGTGAATGCAACTTAAGCTTTGTTAATCTTTCTTCATATGAAAGATTTCTAATTTGGGGAATTAACTTAGTCATCCTACGCTGGACACGTTCAAGTGAATTTATATCCATTCTATAATATGGCGACCAAAACTGAACTGCATAATCTAAATGGGGCCTAACTAGAGCAAGATATAGCTTGAGAACCACACCAGGTGTCTTGTTACTAACGCTGCGATTAATAAATCCAAGTGTCCGATTTGCCTTATTACGAACATTTATGCATTGATCCTTTTGTTTTAAATTCTTACTAATCATAACTCCCAGATCCCTTTCGCAATCCGACTTCGCAATCACAACACCATCTAGCTCGTATCTTGTAACTCTATCATCATTACCTAACCTCAGAACTTTACATTTATCAGCATTAAACTGCATCTGCCAATCCTTTGACCATTTCAAAACCCTATCTAGATCAACTTGAAGTGATAGTGAGTCCTCCTCCGAATTAATTTCCCTACCGATTTTCGTATCATCGGCAAATTTGCAAATGTTGCTACTCAAACCTGAATCTAAATCATTTATATATATTATAAACAACAGAGGTCCCAGGACAGAGCCTTGAGGCACTCCACTTACAACATTTTCCCACTCTGACTTGATTCCATTTATACTAACTCTCTGTTTCCTTTGGTATAGCCATGCCCTAATCCAGCTTAATATAGCACCCCCAATACCATGAGACTCTATTTTTTTAATCAGTCTTTCATGTGGCACTGTATCAAAAGCTTTGCTAAAGTCAAGGTATACAACATCGCAATCCTTACCACTATCAACTGCCTCAACAATGCTAGAATAAAAAGATAACAAATTTGTTAAACATGAACGGCCATTTATAAAACCATGTTGCGACTCAATTATTAATTTATGTTTTTCAAGATGAAGACGAATTTTATTTGCTATTATAGATTCGAGTAACTTTCCCACAATAGACGTTAGGCTAATTGGTCGATAGTTAGACGCAAGTGATCTATCTCCTTTCTTAAAAACTGGTATCACATTAGCAACTTTCCAAAACTCTGGCACTCTGCCTGACTCTATTGATTTATTAAATATGGTTGACAGTGGGTCACAAAGCTCCTCTTTGCATTCTTTAAGCACCCTAGCAAACACTTCATCCGGCCCTGGGGATTTGTTTGGTTTGAGTTTTACTATTTGTTTAAGAACATCCTCCCTGGTAACTGCTAAACTCGTCAACCTGTCCTCGTCCCCACCCACATAGACTTGTTCGGCTGAAGGCATATTGTTAAGTTCCTCTTTAGTAAATACAGATACAAAATATTTATTAAAAATACTACTCATCTCTTCATCACTATCTGTTATTTGACCTGTCTCAGTTTTTAATGGACCTATCCTTTCCCTAGTCTTAGTACGATATAACTGAAAAAACCCTTTAGGATTTGTCTTTGCTTGCCCTGCTATGCGAACTTCATAGTTTCTTTTTGCTTTCCTTATCTCTTTTTTAACATATCTAACCAGTTGTACGAATTCCTGTTCTAAAGTGACCTCCCCATTTTTAATCCTTTTGTACCAAGCTCTCTTTTTACCTATAAGGTTCTTCAAATTCTTTGTTATCCACTTTGGGTCATTAGTATACGATCTATTCAATTTGTATGGTATACTACGTTCCTGTGCTTTGTTTAGAATATTCTTAAATAAGTTATATATTGAATCCACATCGAAATCCCCATTTAAGTCACCTATCGCTGGGTTCATGTCTCGCTCCAAGACCGGCCCACACCCCATACCCAAGCCTTTCCAATCAATTTGACCCAAAAAATTTCTTAGGCTATTAAAATCAGCTTTTCGAAAATCTGGCACTTTAACAGAATTTTCTCCTACTGGTCTATTCCATTCTATGCTAAATCTGATTTCTTTGTGATCACTGCTCCCTAGCTCACTCCCTATTTCGATGTCATTAATTTGCGTTTCCCTGTTAGTTAACACTAAATCTAAAATATTATTTTCCCGTGTTGGTTCCTTAATGTGTTGCGTAAGAAAGCAATCGTCAATTAATTCTAGAAAATCTTCTGCTTCACTATTCCCTGTTTTGTTCAACCAGTTTATTCCGCTAAAATTAAAGTCACCCATGACATAAATACTGTTAGATCTAGATGCTCTAGATATTTCATCCCATAGATGCTTTGCTTCCATTCTGTCTAAATTTGGTGGCCTATATATTACTCCTATTATAATATTATTAGCTTTTTCGTTTAATTCAATCCAAATAGTTTCTGTGTGTGGCTCTGTTTTGATTCCCTCTTTGAGACTACATTTCAAATTGTCCCTAACATATATGGCTACTCCACCTCCTCGTCTAATATATCTATCTGTGTGAAATAGTTTAAATCCATATATTTGATATTCAGCTAATAGTTCTCTATTTTCTACATTCATCCACGTTTCGGTAAGTGCAATAATATCTATTTTTTCTGTGCAGACAAGAGCATTTAATTCGTTAATTTTATTTCTTAGACTTCTACTGTTAGTGTAATATACCCTAAGTGAATTGTTATTTTGCGGACCTTCTCTTTCCCTGATCGTTTTGCCAATTCCTTTCTCCCACAAACACATACTTTTATTACCTCCTTCCTCCAAATCAATTCCCATACCTCTATCTACTAACAGTTTAAACCCAAACAAACACCTCTAACCACTTCTTCTAACGAGTTCGCAACAGCAACAACCCCAGCTCTCGATAGATGCACCCCATCACGAGCATACATTTCATTTCTTCCATAGAAGTGTTCCCAGTTGTCTATGAAAGATATTGCATTTGATTTGCAATATCTTTCCAGCCGGCAATTGACACCAAGTGCCCTCGATATCCATTCATTTCCCACTCCCTTTCTTGGAAGAATGCCACATATGATCGGGATTCCTCCCTTGCTCCTAACTAACTCTATGGCTGTTTTATACCTCTGAATCAGTTCCTCACTCCTGACTCGACCAACATCATTTCCTCCCACGCTAATGCAAATAATGGGATTGTTCCCATTACCAGCCATAATATCATTCATGTTGTTTATAATATCACCAATGCCAGCTCCGGGATAGCAAACCCTTAACCTGTTCCCCCTATCTCTAGCACAAAACGTTCTATCCAAATACCTTATCTGGGAATCTCCCACAACTAATGTTTGCTTAGGTACTTCCTTTACTTTCTGAGGGGCCTGCGCTTCCTTTCTCTTCGTTGCTTTCCCTTTTGCGCGATCCACAGTTTCTCCACAGCACTCGTCCTCCAAAACGTCAAATGAATTTGAAGTTGCTATGGCGTTTGAAGGCGGCTTTATCAAAGTCTTCTTAAGGCCCCTGTCTTTCGCAACTCTCCAAGACGAGGTCCCTTTACTGCTGGTCTCCTCCTTCGTTACTTCTCGTTGTTTTTTAAGCTGACGCACCTCCTCCCGCAGAGAGTCCAACTCTGTCCTCAGGGCTCCCACTAGAGTCACCAGGTCCTTCACTACAACTTCCATATTGCTATGATAATATAACATTATTATCATAGCAATAATATTATGTTCTATATTAAGTTGGATTAGGGCATGGCTATACCAAAGGAAACAGAGTATAAATGTGGTTAAGTCAGAGTGGGAAAATGTTGTAAGTGGAGTGCCTCAAGGCTCTGTCCTGGGTCCTCTGTTGTTTATAATATATATAAATGATTTAGATTCAGGTTTGAGTAGCAACATTTGCAAAAATGCCGATGATAAACAAATCGGTATTGAAATAAACACGGAAGAAGATTCACTATCACTTCAAGTAAATCTAAATAGGGTTTTGAAATGGTCAAAGGATTGGCAGATGCAGTTTAATGCTGATAAATGTAAAGTTTTGAGGCTAGGTATTGATGATGGAGTTGCAAGATACGAGCTGGATGGTGTTGAGATTACGAAAGGGATCTGGGAGTTATGATTAGTAAGAATTTAAAACCAAAGGATCAATGCATGAATGTTCGTAATAAGGCAAATAGGACACTGGGATTTATTAATCGAAGCGTTAGTAACAAGACACCTGGTGTTGTTCTTCAGCTATATTTTGCTCTGGTTAGGCCCCATTTAGATTATGCAGTTCAGTTCTTGTCGCCGTACTATAGAATGAATATAAATTCACTTGAACGTATCCAGCGTAGGATGACAAAGTTAATTCCCCTAATTAGAAACCTGTCATATGAAGAGAGATTAACAAAGCTTAAATTGCATTCACTGAAAAGGCAAAGAGTTAGGGGTGGCATGATAGAGGTTTACAAATGGATGATTGGACATAACCTAGGGGATATTAATAGGTATTAAAAAGTATCAACACAAGACAGAGCACGAAACAATGGGAATAAATTGGATAAGTTAAGATTTAGGAAATACTTGGGTAAATACTTGTTCGGTAACAAGGTTGTTGATTTGTGGAACCAATTACCGCATAACGTGGTTGAGGTGGGGTCCCTCGATTGTTTCAAACGTGGGTTGGACATGTATATGAGTGGGATTGAGTGGTTATAAATAGGAGCTACCTCGTATGGGCCAATAGGCCTTCTGCAGTTGCCTTTGTTCTTATGTTCTTAATTAACATGGGAGACCGGCTATTTATGTCCCTTATATGTAGAGGAAGCATGTTGAACAGCTTGGGCCTTTGATGTTGACAAGAGTTCTCTCTCCTACCTATTGCACCTCTGCTTTTCAACGGGGTTATTCTGCACATCCTGCCGTGCTTTCTGGTCTCATGTGGTGTTATTTCTGTGTGCAGATTTGAGCCCAGCCCCTCTTAATATTTTCCAAATGTAATTTATTATAATATAAAAGTATATATATTAGATGGGGGTTACCTGGGGATGCGAGAGCCTATCCCAGAAAAGACTGCACCATTGAAATTTAACAATATTATTATTAAATGTTGGGAGATCAGGTCGACCCAAGCACGTGTCAGTGTCTTGTGTGTATCGTGTCAGTATATTTAACGCGAGACGATATATATCACGTGTATCAGTATGTATCTCGTGGCGGAATGTGACACTTGTCACTATATATCATTTGTGTCGGTAAGCATTATGTATCAGTCGGTATCATTTGTCAGTATGTATCGTGTATTAGTATGAATCACTGTCAGTATCCAACACCTGTCAGTATATATTACTGTCAGCACACAACACCTGTCAGTATATATTACTGTCAACATACAAGACCTGTCAGTATGTATTACTGTCAGCATACAAGATCTGTCAGTATGCAACACCTGTCAGCATACAAGACCTGTCAGTATATATTACTGTCAGCATAGAAGACCTGACAGTATATATATATCACCTGTCAAAAAGGATTACTATCAGCAATGCATTTATTTAAAAAAAAATCACATATAATCCGATACATATACATGTTTATGCTAATTGCTAAAGGTATCGTGTGAAGACTGAGATGTGGTATAGTGCTGTGACAAGACAAGAGTGTGGAGGAGCATGTGTTGGTGGGCAGGGTTATGGCCGGGTACTGGAGCTCTTCCGTCTCCTCCTCCACCATAACCTCGGAGCTGACCTTCGCTACTCCCAACACCGCCACGCTTGGCAACGTCGCATGACGTCACGCGAGAGGCACGACAATGGCGGATCGAGCATACGGGATGGAGTCCGCTGTGCCTGCTAAACGACCTAGACTGGACTTCCCAGACGATACTTCGTCCCAACAATATGATAGCGACTTCCATTGTTTTGCCGGAACCTCGGAGCTACTTACAGGTCTGTAAAAATGATGGCGTTATATTTTAATTTGGCTTTAATAGTGGGTAGAATTTTGGCGGGGGCTAACCAGTCGATGAACCCAAGATGGCGGATGCGCGCGCACTAATATATCCCTATTTTTAAGGCTTGGGGAGGAATTCTTGGCCCGTGGAGCTCTCCCGTCATGTTTATTTAACAGTGCTTTATTTTTGTATATGGTGTGGCCACGGCCTATACGTAATTAAAGGCTAGATGTGTGAGTGTGATCGATACGCCCACTCTAAGAGGTTGGTGTTGAACAAAGGAACAAGTGAGCATCGCGGCGGTCGGTGGAGGAGGGTCCGGGAGGGTGCGCGCGCCGCCCCGGGGGGATCCAACCCCCCGTCACCCCTACCTTCACTTCTCTTATAACCCGCCAGCGGGAACTTTAAGGAACACTTCTAACCTTAATATCAGCTGACACTAACCCGTCAGCGGGAACTTTAAGGAACACTTCTAACCTTAATATCAGCTGACACTAACCCGTCAGCGGGAACTTTAAGGAACACTTCCAACCTTAACATCAGCTGACACTAACTCTTCAGCGGGAACTTTAAGGAACACTTCCAACCTTAATATCAGCTGACACTAACCCGTCAGCGGGAACTTTAAGGAACACTTCCAACCTTAACATCAGCTGACACTAACCCGTCAGCGGGAACTTTAAGGAACACTTCTAACCTTAATATCAGCTGACACTAACCCGTCAGCGGGAACTTTAAGGAACACTTCCAACCTTAACATCAGCTGACACTAACCCTTCAGCGGGAACTTTAAGGAACACTTCCAACCTTAACATCAGCTGACACTAACCCGCCAGCGGGAACTTTAAGGAACACTTCCAACCTTAACATCAGCTGACACTAACCCGCCAGCGGGAACTTTAAGGAACACTTCCAACCTTAATATCAGCTGACACTGACTAATATCACGCATCAACGTAATTTTGCAAACTTTTTTTTATCGCATATAAGATTTTATGATGTAAAACATTGTTTACTCTGAATACAATTGTTTTTGCAGAGTTAAGTTAAAATAAATTATGCTGCATGTATATTAATTTTTTTGTTTTAGGAATACATAAACAATATATGTATACAATACAGAAAATGCATAAACAATCCTTTAGTGGTGGTTAGTTGACAACTTTACATTCAATACATAATGTAAGGGTATTTTATCCCAAAATCTGTCACATAAAGGTTTACTTATTTAATTATTCAGTCACTGAAAAGGTATTCATATTAGCCTAAACACTTGAGCTACATCGGTACTGTAGATTTGTGCTACAGTTTTGTATTTGTATTGTATTTATACCTTGAATAAATATTGCATTTGTACCTTGAATAGTTATCTGAAACTCCATATGATGAGTGCTGTCCTTAACAACTGAGGATATCATTTAGTTGTTGACCAAAATGTTATATTTTCATGTGTAGCATCCATTAACTTGCTTATTTGTAAGTTAATTGCTAACCATTAATAAAGAATAAGAATAAAGTACTCTTTAATATAGCATTGATATTTGTAATCAAGAGGAGGCTAATGGAGTAGTGAGCATACTGGTGTTATGAATGGGAATTGATTATTATTATTTTTTTTAATTACTGTAACACGTTTAGGTTCATGTGCATTTGTGGAGCTGCCCTAGACTATATGACTGAGAGTACAGTGTGTCAAAAAAACTAGCTACATGATGCTAAAATCACTATCACTGGGGCTTGTTTCTTCAGTCTCATTATAATTTGAACCATCATCTCTATTATTATTATTATTATTATTAGCATTATTAACTCGTAATTATATTCAGTTTTTGTTTGATATTTAATCAATATACCAATTCTGCCATTGATTTCTCAATATATATCAACACCTACCTAGTTGTCATGTACTTTGGGCTTAGTTTTTAGATATTTATAAATACGGCAGCAATTTCGGTACAAGATGTATATGACTTGAACTGCAGGGTTTAATAAAGGTAAATGGTAATGGAATATCTTTATTAACGGTGTTGTATACTAATTAACTTTTCATAATTTATATTTAAGTGTACTGTAGTAATATTTTAATCTTCAGGGAGCTACAGTAATGGTACAGAGTTCACCATCACTTCAGATTCTGGATTCAATGAGCTGACACCACCTCAGAGCTTGGAAGACGACATAACAACTCCGTAAGTATTTGTCATTAAAACCCAGTCGAGCATGAAAACACATTCCGTGGTAAATTCTTTGAACAACAATTTGATACTTGTCTTTTTCTACTTATATATACTGTATACACATGTATACTGCATATAGTAGTGTATACAATAGTAAGATTCAAGATTCATTTTATTGTCGAAAGAGTTTTCCTTTTTAAAACATTTAATGGAATACCATTTTCCGCAGCAGAACAAGTTCCAGTCAAGGTGAAAATATTGGTAGAATTGAAAATCATTTAAGCAATGATAATACCAACGACAGTTCTATCAATGACTGTTCCGAAAATTGGCCCAGTGGAACGGCTGCAGGTCAGGAGGATGATGACGACGACGATGATGATGATGATGACGATGATGATGATGATGACAGACAGTCTGTTGCATCAACCACGTCTAATCTCAGTGGATTGTCTGACTTTTCAAATTTTTCTGGAAAGGACTGGAAACCTTGTGCTGGTAAGTTAGAGATAATCATTTTATCTAGTCTTGCTATTTGTATTGACTGTCTGCATAATTTCCTAGGAATTTATATATTATAGATTGCAAAGAAAATGTGGGTATTTTCTTTATTGTTGGAATTACAATAAATTAATTACTCCAGGAGAGAGAAAAGGCAGTGGGACACACACACCTTAAATTTAATGGAGGATGTGATTGATAATATGAGCTGCTACAAATTTTTTGCACCGAGCAGCAAAACTGTTAAGGAATAAAAATATGATTAGTAGTTAGGGGATTTAATACAAATTAGTGTAAATTAATGTATTGAATAATTTTGTTATTAGGTATTATAGTTTTTTCAGACAACATTTTCCAGTGACGGTTGAGCAGAAGTTATTTAAAGCTATATTATTTACTTAGAGATTTTATAGAATATGTCTTTGTTTTTAAAGAAACTGATGCTTTATAAAATCTTCATCTTGCTATTAAATACTTGTACATTATGTATTTTAGGTCCTATGTCTTGGGTACAACAGCAGATGATGCGTGGCGTTAACCCACGCACCATCTTAACTCACGTCCTTGGAACTACGGCTGAAATTCCTGAGGGAGTTGCTGATGTAACACTATGGCGCCTTATTGTCAGCATGCTGTCGGAACCCCCACGAAGAGAAAAATTACGTCATATCAATACTATTGAAGATGTTGTGCGATTAATGAAGTCTTGTCGGAAGATTATTGTCTTGACTGGTGCAGGGGTTAGTATTTGATTTATATATTATTATCACTGTAATTAGAGGGTTTGCAAAAATGTATTTCACTAATAGTTTTTTTGGATAAATTCATTGAAACTTTATTGACAATTTTCCATGGTAAGATTGGTTGATTGATATAGTACACCATTTTTACATGAATAGAATAAATTAAATTTGTAATGCATGAAGCTGCATATTGCGTGTAAATTTGTTTCAGTATCTGAGACGAATAGATTCTGTGTTTAAAATCTGAAAGTCTAATAAATTGTTATATAAAACCTCTAATCTTGTTAAAATCTTGTCTTGCAGGTTTCAGTCTCGTGTGGTATTCCAGATTTCAGGAGTAGAGATGGAATTTATGCCCGCCTTGCTGTCGACTTTCCTGATTTACCGGATCCACAGGCAATGTTTGATATTCACTACTTCCAGAGAGACCCTCGCCCTTTCTTCAAATTTGCTCGGGAAATCTACCCAGGACAGTTCACTCCTTCTCTTTGTCATAGGTAATTGTTATTTTGCACACTGCATCATCAACTGTTTTGATATATTTAGGTTATTACTAACTGCAACTCAGGAGGCAACTTTTTTTTACCTATTCATCTCATACATTCCTGCTGGAACACAAGTTGAAATGCTTGGATCATTTTCTAAATAACACACATGTTAATCAGTTCTTTCTAGTACAGTAGTTATATAACAAATTAAATTCTCAATGAGTGTCTATCCCCAAAGCAGAAATAATTCAGGATGAAAATTTAAGAGTGAATAGTGACATGAAACCAGGAAATTTGCAAAAGTGCTCCTCTGAAAATGTTATAGGTGACTAAATAAGTAGAATTTTACCCCCTTTTCTAGAGAAAAGGTCTATGATTATAAGTATTTTTGACATTATTGATCCTGTGCAAGATTTGGGCTCAAGTATGCAGAATAATCTTCAACTCACTTTACTTTATTAGTCCTTTTGAAAAAAGTTTATATTCAAAGTTTCAAAGTTTGCCCTACAACTTTTGTTATTACTTTTGGAGAAATGGCTATGCCTTGCATGAAGTATTTTTTGTGTTCTTTTAATGAATTTATAATTGTTTATATAAATATGTAACAAACTTAAAACCTACAAAAACTTACAAACTTGTTACAAATAGGCAGTACAGTACTGCACCTAAATGTCAGTAGTTTGAATTAAAAATAAAAATCAATTATTTTTAGTAAAAAAAAGTTGTCAGAATAAGCTACATTTTATTCATTCAAAGAACAGTGCAGTATTTAAATATTTTGTACATGGCCACTAATCACATGGAGCTTTTTGGGAAGTATTTTGCAGAATTACCGCTGTATAATAGACTTGAAAAAAAAATTGTTCCTGGGTAATAAGTTATTTTCTGATTGCACATGCCTGAAAAGTACTGTGCATAAAAATGGCTATTATGCCTCCTCAAACTATGCTTTGACCTTTGTCTAAAACAGCTTAGGGAAGACATTTTGAAGATACTTGAAGACTGTTAACTTATGGAACAATGTATCACAGCTCTAGATAAGGAGTTAGCAGCCTTCAAGTACTTGCACCTTAAAGGCGTCTTCCCCAAGATCTGTTAAGCAAACAGCAAAGTAATGTTTGAGGGGAATAGTGGTAATTTTCTATGTTCTGGAGGCATAAACGATCAGAAAATAACACTACCCAGAAATAATTTTTTTTAAATTGTGTTATATTTCTCAAAACTAAAAGGAGTGAGTGAGGCCTGAAAGTGTCATGGTGATCATTTTTAAATTTTCAATATTAGTTAGAAATTGAGGATTGATTCTTTTAAGGTGAATTCAAAACTAATATGTTTAGAGGAAGTTCAAATGTACATTGGTTACTTCATTGAATAGTTAATTGTTCAAATTGTACTTACCTTTAATTTCTCTAATTCTGTATGTATAAATTTCAGATTTATTCGCCTAATAGAACAACACAATAAATTACTGCGGAATTACACACAGAACATCGACACTTTAGAACAAGTGGCAGGAATAAAAAATGTCATTCAGTGTCACGGTAAGTAAATACAGGTACTGTATTGTACTATAATATAAATTATTATTTATATATTAATTTTCCAATCATGGAAAACTGGTCACTTATCTAATGCTTGAAGAATTCTCTTGTCAGAGTAAGAGATAAACCCACATAAAAAATGTACTTTAAGAAAAAGATTTCACTTATATATTGTGCAAATATTTAGCCAGTACACGAAGCCTATCTTTCACAGATTTCGTCAATGTCAATTGCCAAATTTTTTTAACACTTTGGCAGTCTGGCCTCTCCATTTGTTCCCGACTGTAAATGTTCTGGGCTCTTTGGGCCGCTCACAGGCTACTCAGGGCTTGACTTTTTTTTACAATTTTATATTTTCTAAGTTATTTGTTGGGTTATAACTATAACTTTGGTGTCAAAATGTTTGCAAATGAGCCTTTTAGAGAACAGATGCAAAATTAAGTGTATAAACAGTATAATATATTATGCAAGATGCCGATGATTATACAAATGATTAGCAAATAGAGGACATGTTTTAGCATCATCAGAACGTTTATTGTCGGAGTACAGTCAGAAGGCAAAAGTACTAATGTGGAAAATAGCACATTCAAGCCTTAATTTTCCTCTTCAATAGCTTTGCATTTAGCTTCCCATTGATTCTTTTTCCTTGCATAAGTCTTTTACTAGCCCTACATAGCCTTCCCGGTTTGGTGCCTTCTTTTGATAATTACTTACTTACTTTTACTAGCCCTTCAAGATCTAATACTTTGCTACTCAAGTGGTCTTTACTTTCTCTCTCTAAATTTACTGATTATTTCTATTTGATAGTTCACAATAATGTCTAATTTTGCCAGTATGTTGTGTAGACTGCTTATACTGTATTAATACTTTCCTCATTGAATCCACCAAAATCTAGTACTATTGTTTTTTTTCTTGCCAGTGGCCATCTTGAATTTAGTTGCCTGCACTGTTATCACTATGGCAACTTTTTCTCATCCAATTATTTAAATTTCCCTGGCCCCTTCTCATTCGTTTTATCTCGCCTATTTTTCAAATACGCTACACTTTTATGTTTCTTGGGACACCATTCACGGTCCTCAACCTGTTCTACAATACTTATGAATTTCAAATATCCTAGAGCCTCTCTGATGCAGGCATTGACTCTGGCTGTAACTTAGTCAGCCCCCCCTCCCCATCACATCACACACCAGGCGTATGAAGATATTCTAGTAAATTTGTATTTTTGTTGATAATCTTATATTAAACAAATATTCTAAATGAAATTTCTCTTCTTGGGTTAACAGGTTCATTTGCTACTGCAACTTGTCAAAGATGTGGTCATAAGGTTGATGCACAAGCCATAAAAGAAGACATCTTTTCTCAGCGAATTCCCCAGTGTACGCAGTGTGTAGGAAATGAGAGAGGTAACGATGAGAGAATAACGGATGAGGAACTTCAAAACAGATCACAAGATGAGGGGTCAATCACACAGCAGAATACACCACCTAGCTTACACTTCATGTCCAACAGGCCACCAGGTATGTTAAATTGTATTTAATGGGAATTCTGGGGAATTGTCTGGGAATTCTGGGAATTCTCATTAACAGAATTCTTTTTCAGTACATTTTTACTGTGGCAATCAAGAACCCCTGTGTAAATGGATGTGCTTCTGAACAAACTGTTTTGTTGGAGTGCATTGTAAACACATTCAATTTGTATTAATATAAAAACATGTTAAACTTTTAAACATCAATTAAAGAAATATTAAAATTTGCTTTTTCCAAGGGCTTGTGGTATGAAAATGTGTTCAATTGCACATTTCCAATTTTGTAACTAGCGTCAAACATTGTTATTTGCTTAGCTAAACGAACTAGAGGGTTCAGTTCCTGAACCGATTATGTGCCTCTGTAATCCTTTACACCGCCGCCCACGGGATGGGTATGGGGTGCATAATAAAGAAAGAAATTGAATTCCATGTGTGCAAAAATGATAAGTTTTTCAAATAATAAAAAATGGCAAATACAGATGGTTTTCATCTTAAAAAACACCAATTTAGCAATCACCTGATCTAATGAATAGCTTACAAAGTTCCCACTTTGCATCTTAATCTGCTATGCAAACGTGCTCTTTGTCATTTGTTGTTGTTAAAGATTTGTACTGCAAAATCCTCTATGACTGAGGGTGCCATGTGGCTGACCCACGCTCCCCCAGTCAGCTGTGTTATTGTGCCCAGTGTAGACCCACTGTGCTTCTCTGAACTATTTCATATTTTAATCAAGAAAATATTATTAATAATGGCTGATAAAATGAGGAAGAGACTATCCATCATTACTCTGATGATGCAGCTAGTGATAATCAAGCACTGCTCTGAGAAGGGAAAAACAGCAACACAATCACACATGCTCAGAATCTTAGGCATGGGAGAAAGTAGATATCCATCATGTAATCAGTCAACTTCATCCACAGAGTATGGAAAAAAGAAGTTTGTGTGAATGATATCTTAATGATATTCTCCAAATTAGTTAAATGATTTTCCTAAATGGGCTCTTCTAATTTAAAATTAGATGGTGTCTTTGAAAAGCTACTGACTGTAGTTAACACAAAATTCTGTGGTTGGTTTTTATTTTGAATTATGTTAAAATTCCATTATAACATAATGGGACTGCAAAAGGTCTATTGGGCCATACGAAGCAGCTCCAACTTATCATATCTCATTCATATATATGTCTAACATGGGTGGCTTAGCCAAAATGTTTTATTGTTGAACTTTAATACTGAATATTATACATGTATTGCCATTTTGTATTCAAATTATCATGGGAAAGTCTAAAAGTCTCCAATTGACATTACAGATACCCCACCTTTACCACCAAAGCCAATTATGAAACCAGATATAGTGTTCTTTGGTGAAGGTTTACCCGATGAATTCCATGACAGAATGGCAGAAGACAAAGATGAGTGTGATTTGCTAATTGTCATAGGATCCTCTCTAAAAGTTCGCCCTGTGGCTCTGATCCCCAGTAAGTTGTGACGCTACTTTTAACATGTATAACACTTGATCAATTTTGTATAAAGTTCTCTATATGAGATGTTTCATAAAGAGCATTATTTTTACTAGACAACAAATAGATGATTATTTAAAAAAAGTATTTTTTCATACAAAATACTTTGGTTTTGTTTCTAATATCTCTATTTTTTTAATTTTTGTTATTTACTTCCAGGTTCAGTTCCTTCACATGTGCCTCAAATATTGATTAATCGTGAACCCCTTCGACATCTAACGTTTGATGTTGAACTTCTTGGAGACTGTGATGTGATAATAAATGACCTCTGTCACAGGTCTGTGTTATTTTGTTTGCTAATATTAGCAATATAAATTTTAAAATCTATACTGTATAATTCTTATACAGATATTCTGTACTGTAAAAAATTTAACTTTTGTGGAAAATAATGTTATTGGGTGGGATTGAACTTGCATGTTCAATCCCACCCAATAGTGGAGAACTCGCTACTTATACCCGAGTAGTATAGGTACTTACTACGTATATGTAGTAGTATAGGTAAGGCCAGGAACTTCATAAAGTTTAGCATAATATTTTCTTATAGATACATCACACTATTGTGATTGTATTGTGTGTGAAACTTTGATTTTAATATTAATTATTTGATTTACTATTTCTCAAATTACATGTCTCAGAGAGACAGAGAGAGAGAGAGTCACATTATATTATTTAGCAGGATGAGGCTTGTGACCGATTGCACTGTGGCACTAGGGCGTGTTGCTTAACCCTCAGACCGTGACACTTCTGAGCAGGCTCCATACATTTCCTTGGTTTAAATGGGGCTAAAATCTAAAATAATATATTTTTAATTGATGTAATTGTGTACACCTCACATTACACCTCCTTTGTTAGTGTGATACAGTAGGGAGCACCACAAGGAAGTAATGGTAGAACTTGCTTCCCTGTTCTTTAATGTGGAATGTATGGTGAATAAAAAAAGTGACATTTTGAATATATTTAACTTTTTTATTATTATACTGATATCCTTGAACCATAAGATACTGGGTAATAATGATGAGCTTTGTTAACCAGACAACACACTAGAAGGTGAAGGGACGACGACGTTTCAGTCCGTCCAGGACCATTCTCAAGTCGATTGAGACTTGAGAATGACTTGACATTATCAGGTCAGGTCAAGTCACAATCGACTTGAGAATGGTCCAGGACGGACCGAAACGTCGTCATCCCTTCACCTTCTAGTGTGTAGTCTGGTCAACATTCTTCAGCCACGTTATTGTGACTCATTGCCTGCAATGATGAACTTGCTTTACAGACAATGTCTACTTAGATCTTCATCAATTGATGTGACAATATTTTTTTTAATAAATAATGGAAAGTGTACATATTCCAAGATAATGATTATTTGGTTAGAAGCTATGTTTGCTCAAAAGATTACTTTTTTTAACTTGCAGATTAGGAAATAATTGGAAAGATCTTTGTACAGAAGAAATTATGACAGAAATAAAGGAATTGCCTCCAAGACCCCTTCCTTCAATCAATGTTAACATTAGTAATGCTGATGGGGAGGACACCATTTCTTACCCTGGATCTTCATTAGTTGCACCTCAGAATGCGCCACATCCTCGCGATGAAAGTGATATTGAAGCACTCAGGGCTTGTTGGGCCCCCAAAATTCGTGAGACTGTTGCCTCGAGATTACCAGGTGAGGCTGAACTCTTTGTAGTTTAACGACAAGATTTAGTTTATTTTCCACATGTAACTTTTGCAAACACCTTAACTCTAGTTCTCCAGATGATGCAGAAAACACACAATTTAATTGTCAAATGAGGAAAGTTTTGTCTTGTACTAGGCATTCCACTCATACAGTGCTGTACTCTGCCCCATACACCACGTGAGCACCATTGCCCTAAATGGTAGCTTACTCTTAGAGAAAAGTTAACAACTTTGCTGGCTGTTTTCTATTATTTCTAGAAATAATTAAATGAGTGTCAGAATAGTTAACGGATGGAATGCATTAGGCAGTGATGTGGTGGAGGCTGACTCCATACACAGTTTAAAATGTAGATATGATAGAGCCCAGTAGGCTCAGGAATCAGGAGTACATCAGTTGATTGACAGTTGAGAGACGGGACCAAAGAGCCAGAGCTCAACCCCCGCAACCGCAAGCACAACTCTGTGAGTACATTGAGTTCTTCAAGGTCACCAAGATGCAGTAGGTGAAAGAAGGAAGGGTGGACTGAAACTGCCAAGTTTTCCATGAAATGGTAATTCATAAGTTTGAAAAGCAAGAGTTACTGGACTAAATTAGAGTAGCTAATAGTTGACAGATTTGTAGGAAGAGGAAGTATCAGGGTGAAGAGAAGTGGCAAGTGGGGGTTACACAGGGTATGGTACTAGAATGACTACTGTTCTGAAACAAGATAGCACGACACTAACGAAGGACCAAGACAGGCTAGACAAATGGCTTCTAAAGGTTAACTTTTACGGGGATTAAACAAATGATGTTTGTGATAGGAAACAAGGACAGTACAGTATATTATATAGTAAGAATAAAAAAAAAAGTGGGAGTGGATAGTTAACCACCGTACTGCGCAGAGTTTATTGTGAAATTCCCCTTGTGCTCATGAAATAAAGTGTTCCCAAAAAATTATTTTTTCTTCATAAAATGATAAATTCTCTTCCCTGAACATGTCTATGTAAAAATAAATACCAAATTCACTTAATTTGGCTGTGGGGCCGTTGACAAGGGGCGCTGTGACGTCATCAGGGTCTGGTCGCCCGTGCATGAATCCCCCAGACACAGTCACGCGGGCCATTCAAGCACTGTGTTGCCACAAATATATTTTAAATTATTTGTTCGATGTATTTCCAATGCAGTTTTAATTTTTTTTTTATCATATATGATGCATAATTGTGTAATTTACAATATGTATACAGTAGAACGTTCATAATGTTCCATGAAACTGTGATACATGTGTCAATAATGTGACCACAATAAATGTTTATTGTCGCAATATTACTTGTTAAAAATTCACTAAAATTACAATATGTACAGTTTCACACACTATTTACACAGTATTACACACTCAGTACTTCAGAAGTGAGTAATAATCAATGAAGTAGTCCATGGTGCACAGCGCGACTTCGCCTTCGTTGCACCAGGTACTTCCTGTTTCTTCATTCTGTGTACTTGCAAATAACGCACTCACGTACACCCTTGGCTTTAGTACTTGTAGGTTGTATGTAGCCAAGCTTGTAAAGCATAAGATAGTATTGAAAAGATTATAGGAAAAGATCAATTTGTAAGGTAGTCTTGAAAAGATCACTTTGTATGGTCCCACATAGGAAGAGATTCAGCTTGCCTCAAAGAGTGTCTGTCAGTTAGGAAGAGATTCATGTATTCTTGAAAATATCTATGGAAAACGCCACCATGGAAGCTGCTAACACTGTTCATCTATGTTACTTGTATCGGATGCATCATCACTGAATGCAGAAAACGATTCATCTATGTATCATCTAAATAAATTGGAGATAGCATAGGATTGCAAAGGTGACACTCAGAGCTATAACTGGATACACTCGCTGTATCGCCCTCATAGGTGCTGTATCACTTGCATCCGACCTTTGTGTTAGGTCCTTATTGCGCCTAGCTTCACCAGTGTTATGACCCTTATGTTCTTCAAACAATAAGGTTTGAATTTCACCAACAGAGCATTATCTTTCAACATTGCGTCGGACAGGTGTTTAAGAGCCAGAGGCGCGTGCGCCACTCATGGTTGCTCATTCAGTACTAACCAAGCCAGCAGCTCTAGAGCATTCTGGGAATTTTTTCCAAGATGGCTATGTCTCACTGGAGGTCCTAAGAGTCCATTTCCTACACAGCCAACCTCGCACACATTTAAAATGGGTAAAGGAAAAATCAAAAAGAGTTTTCTCGGTTGGCGCAGTTTCCCGCTGACCGAGAATACTCGGCTGGTGCAGTTAAGTGGTTAAACCTTAACTCCAGAAGAACATGTCAACAATAAAATCAGCAGTAAACTTAGTCTAGCATAAAGTGGACAGCTTTTAAGAGCTTAAGTAAGGAATCCTGTAAAATATTATAACACATTGTATGTTAGATTAGTCCTAAAATATGCAACTCCAGCATGGAACCTACACCTGGTAAATAAGAAAATAAATAAATCTGCCATGAGATATGTACCAGAGATAAGAGAGAGAAGCTATGAGAAAAGGCTAAGAGAACTAAATCTAGTGACATTAAAAGAGAGGCCAACTAAAGCAATATTATTGTAATGTACAAGATACTGAAGGGACCGGATGAAGTGAATAAAGGCCATATTTTCTTGGCAAAGACTAATGAAATGAGTTTCACAGGTGCAAGTTGGAAACAGACAAGCCAAAAAATGTGTATAGACATACAATACAGTATTCTTATTCTAGAGTGGTAAGTGATATAAGCTCAAGTCGTGCTGGTGGAAACAACCACCATATACATACTCGGTAACAAGTGACAGTACTGGAGTGATTTGTGGATATAAATGTATTCAGATACAGTAGCTAAGAAGTGGGACTGTAGAGCTATATCTTGCTTCCCATAGACATGACTAGGGAAGCACATACCATCACTGCATACCAAAATGTATCGCTATAACATACCACGTTAATAGGCCCACATGTCATTGCCACCTTCACAACATACCAATCCACTGCCATCGAATACCAAACGTTCCACTTTCCTCTAGACCCCATACCACCAGTCTTATTGCAACAGCCTGTATAACTTACATCAGACTGTACTTATTTGTTACTACACCCTCCATACACATTAAATTATCTTGTTTGTAATGAGATATACCAGCCTGAGGATACTTTATTGATCATTTTCATGTGTTTAAAAACCATATAGCGTTACTGATGCTTTGGTTCTCATAAGTTCTAAGTCTTATGCATTTTTCAGATAATATGTTCCTGTACACTGGTGGTCATAAGTACATTTTTCCTGGAGCTGAAGTGTACTATGATCCAGATGATGAATTTGAAGAAACCAAATCTCTCGGCTCCGAATCGGAAACTGATGAAATAGAACCAAGAGAGGAAAGTCAAGAATCTTTTCACAGTAACCAAACTAATGCTTCTTCTAGTCATCATCCCAGATTAGATGAAGAATTTCATTCTACAGTAACGCCACACCTATCACCAGAGGATGTAGATAGTCTACTCTCAACAGCCGATAATGGCCAGACTCAAGAACACGTTGAAGACTGGACTAGCCTTAATGCCAGCTTAGATACGTCTCTAGATTGTGACCACACACTAACAGGCTATGAAACAGACAGTGCCCACCACACTGAGGAAAGTGCATCAAAAGTAACTGACACTTTAACTAGTAGATTTTCTTCATCTGATGACCTATGACCTTGCTTCAGGAGAGAGATAAGATCTCTAGAATAAGCCTTTATATATATATATATAAAACAACTGCTGGTAAAAGAAATCTAACACCCCCACTATAAATGGGGGGGGTTGTGAAGAACTTGTTTTAACGGCTAGTATAAAATCAGTGATTGGTAAACTGATGTACAATTTCCTTTTTTGGACAGTTGAAGTCAGAGCCATTTTTTTTCTTACACTAGCTAAATAGCAGCTTTAACTGAACATTTTGTGCGATTGACTCATTATTTAAAACCGTCCTTTTGTTCATGTTAATCTCTTTCTATGGCAGATTTTGAAGTAATAGCCAGATGTATAAAAAGTTAGATGCCAAATAATTACCAACACAATGTGCAATTTGTATTCCGATAATTGTTGAACCTTCTGGTTGGAAAAAAATCTTGATGATGATGGTTGTATACTGGAAAGTCTCAGTTTTGTTTTATAGTTGGAAATGTTTTTGATTCAAAAGTTCAGATGTCTATTTACATATTTCTTTATACTGTACATTACCATATCTTCCTTTCACTTTTCCTTTAGTTTCCTCGTGTTTGAAAGCAAGTGCAGAACTGTATAACTGATCCTTGGTCACAAACTGCTTTCACCTTCTGTACTTATTTTCTGTTGTTGTTGTTCAAACTCATGGCCCTTGTACTTTTGCAAGGCAGATTTTAAAATTGAGACCTTTAAGTAAAATTATTGAGTTTGGCTGTATAGCAGAATATGTGCCAGGTTTACTATGAAGCTTATTGGACATAGTGATATTTGTTGTCTCAATTGTTTATGAAATTATGTCTTGCCGCAAAGTTTGATCTACTGGGCAGTGACAATTATTTATTCATATGGTTTACAGGGGAGGGGAGTTAATCCCAGTGATTATTTTTAATAGTGTACATGATAAATATTATTGACAACCAAATGATCAAATCGACTGTCACTGATAGCCACATGGTTCACCAGTTTGGTCTTACAGAGAATGTTGCCAGTATCCGTATAATATAAAATAAACAAATACCCCTTCCATTAGAATTTGATCCTAGGTTCAGGGGTTTTAACAAGCAAACTCTAAAGTTGGTGGGTATCAACAGGGTTGTCCAAGTTATCCTAAGTCATTGTTCATGCTTCATGTCTTCTTCAGCTTACTGTTTAACTTTTCTATGTACTTCCTGTTGTAGGCATAAGGTTGAAGCCATGGCATTTATAGCTGAACATTTATATCTGCATACATTTGTCATGAAATTGAAGTTGTTAAAGAGCTAATCATTAAGTTTTCTTCTTTATGGAACATCCATATGATTATTAATGATATGGATATGAAACTTGAATACATGTGACATTTACTTCTAATGCTTGTGCCTAGGCTGAATATTTTTGTCATGGGTGCTTCATTGGAAAGGTTTGGGGTATTTCCAATTGTATGAGTTCTCAGTTAAGGCTGGCTTAGACCTCCCTGTTCATTTGGAGTTGGTTGATTTTTTAGTTTTATATTTCCACTTTCATATTTTTGGAGAGAATTATTAGGTCCTACCTCAATTTTTTTTATACACAGTATATTATATAATATTATATATATATATACACACACACTGTATACATATATATAATATATAAGGAACAGTGCTTTTGATATTTTGCATAAAATTTACTGGTTAACAGGAATCCCTTGTGTGTATTTTTTTTTAATTATTATTTGGAGAGGATCCTACCCACTCAACATGAGCCCTGCACAATACCAGGCAATAATTTTTTGTTTGAGGAAAGGGAGGGGGGGAGAGGGGGCACCATTTGTAGTTATCACATGTGAATAGTCTGCAAACGGTACTGAATATTTTATTTATTTTGAAATACAAAATTGCCCAGTCTATTGGCACATCTAGTGACCTAATCTAATAGTTATTTTTCTTCATATCCTCTGCACGACAGTGAACTTGATCTCGTACAAATAATTTTAGCGATACATCTTGCAGTTGTGTGAACACTTATCCTTTTTGCATTTATTCACTCAAATTTATGTACAAAAATTTTAATACTTTCAGAATAAAGATGTACTTTTACATATATACCCTCTATACTGTACCAAAATTATAGGTAAACAAAAAATGTAATTCTTAATTTGTCTGCTAATAGCTTATAATAAGATTTGAACCTGTGACTCGACACAAATTGTGGGTTGCTCAACATGCTAAAGTTTCGTCTACTACAGAGCTGGCAGTCAGGCCAATTATCCTTACACTGGTGGTGCCCACCTGCAAGTTATGTCATGCTGAGCAAATCTGCCCATTATCTGGGATGTGGAAAGCTAGATTATGTAACATATCTCGACATCTTCCTGTAAGCTTTTTTTCACCCTGCCCCACTTGTTGCTGTGGAAAAGGATTATTAAACTGAGGGCATTAAATTTAACTTGCAATAGTCCACCCATAGCTTCTCTCATCTTGGTACAAATTTTTTATTCTTTTGGAAGTACAGGGAATAATTACTGCAGTGCTGGGCAAAGTATATTTTTCTTACTTATAAGCACAAGATAATGAAGTAATTTTTTATAAAAAGGTACAAAATAATTCAAGTTTAGTTGTCAAATTACAGTATATTTTACCCAAATGTTTCACTGCCAAATAAAAAAAACTTCCAATTCATTATACAGTACTTTTTTTATTATATTTTTTTAATAACCTACACTCATTTGAATTTTGTTCCTTGCATTTTACTCGGCAGCATTTGCAGATTATTCAATTAAAATCTACATGTTATCTGTCATCCGCTAGGTGCATTGTATGCAGTCATAGGATCTCGGTCAGGCTACAAATTATGAGGACAAGGAAGATGGAACCGTATATGACGAGAATCGGGAGTAAATCCATAGTTTTTTGTACTTTGAATCTGCTCCCACCAAAGTTTCTTGGTGTCTACTTAGATTCTGGACAAGGTAGCTTAATTTTCCTTGACCCTCATATAACCAATATGTACATTTTGTAAATTGTTGCTGTTTAGCATCAAGGGTCCAATGGCATAACATAACCATATTGTTGCTGTTAAACATTAAGACTTGCTGAAGGTACAACTGCAGCTTTTTCATGTGGCCTAAAATGCAAATGTTCTCTTTTGTCTAAGTTAAGAACAGCAATAAAGTATTCCTCTTTTTGTACAAGGACATCTTATTTCCTGTAATTTAAATTTATATATACAGTACAGTACTATATATAATATTTATACCCATTATAAAATTACTATATACAGTACTTTATCATGAAAAATAGAGTACTGTACATCGAAGTTTTAAAAAAGACAATTTCTAAATACAGTGTGTACTCACAAGTGGTAAACTGCTTCGCAAAATTTTTAATTTTTAATAAGGTCTTGTTCCTAGTTGATTATTTCCGACTACCTGACACCCTTGTACTATAAAGCTATGTTCAAAGTCAACAAAGTTCAGTCTGGTCACTGGTGGCTCAGGTAGTATTACAATAGACAAATAAGGCTTAAGGGGGCTGAATTTAATTAACTCAAAAGATTTTCAGATTTATATTACTGTATAATCATTAGAAAAGTTTTATATATAAAAAAAAAAAAATTCCTCTCAACCTTCGCTTTGACCTTTGCCGCCCCCTTCAAGACATCTTCCCTGTCTTAGGCAAAGTTCGAGGAAATACAAGCCACTTTCTATACTTTGGAGGCATAAGCAGTCAGAGGGGGAACAGAGGAAAAAAAAAAAAATGTGCAATCAATACTTTACAAGCAAAGTATCCAATTTATGTTTCTTAATACAAATTATGAATGGTTATTTTTTCTCCAAAAAATTCTACAAAACCATTTTTCCAAATATACTCATTAGTATTATAAAGCCTGCTAAGTTGTGCATTCGTTTCAAATTTCATAAAAAGCCTTCAACAACTTTAGATTCTAGAAGTAAAGGGGGGGGGTTTTGATAATCAAAATTTCCCACCTAAAATGGTATAACAAATTTTCAACAATATCCATTTTAATTATATAACTTTTCATATACAGTACTGTATATCATCTAAACAATTCCTAAAGTGCACCTGCTTAACCCTAACAGCTCCCCCTCACCCCTCAAGTGATGGGGACCAGTGCACCAATCTACGGGAAACTAGATGTGCCCTGTAATATTCAAAACTCTTTAAAAGATTATACTTGACACTCGAGACCTGGCAAGCATTTACCATATTAGAAAAAGAACCCCTGAATGCCATTGTTTTTTCCTGGGCCTTCATAAAATAATGGGGAACATGTCTGGTGCATCACCATGCACTGACATCTATGCTAGGAACCATTGATGGCATAGACCTGTAAGATACTGTATTAGCAAGATGGAGCAACCTGTTAACTTAAAAATTCTCTCAGGATATAACATCAACATTGCCATGGTCAAACTAAAAATATTAGCTTTCCCCCCCAGCTTCAGAAAGCTGTGTTTTATGATACAGAAATGAAAAACTATTTTCTTTTTTATATGCACCAAAAAATCTACCTAATTTTAGGGTGTGTAGTTACGAGTTAAATGTTTAACTATGCTGATAAAATATTTGGGTAATATCAATAACCCCATGAAATTTCACAGTAGATAAAGGTTTAATGATACCATTTATACAATCAAATTAAACAAAATTAGAAATGGCAAAACTTCAACGTGGAATTTAAAAACATTAAGTAAGCTTTTGTATATTTAAATCATTCACCTAGGCTTGTCAATTTTTAATCCTAATTAGCACAAAATTATGCGTGTTGCTCACTTTTCATGTCAGAACCAGGCTTCCCTGAAGTGTTATCAGGCGTGTCACTTTTTGTCCATATGACATCATTAACGTGATGGACATTCTTGCTAGTTTCCTCTGCATGGTCACTGTCTTCATCGCTGGTTTCTTTACACGATAAATTATCGGCAGAAACTACTACATTATCTTCCTTTTCTGTAGCACTTTCATTTTCACTCATTCTGCTGCTCTTTGTTGCACATGGCGACTCGTCATCAATCTCGCTGTCGTCTTCACTCGATACATCCAAGTCACTGTCGAAATAATGCAACATTTATTTATTTTTATTTTTAATGCAGAACAATGAGATGGTAACTTAGGTGCAACAATAATAGGTTAAATGTAATTAGAACACTATTAGAACGTAATATTACATTACATTCTAATAGTGCCTCAGACTGCTTATTTTCATCAAATAATTCAAGAAAATGCTTAATAATAATAATAATAATAATGCAACATTAAGTACGTACTCCATGAATCTTCCTCTCTTAGTCTTGGAGACCGTTTCCTCTTTGATGTTTGAACCCTGTCTCTTGATACCAGAGGGACCACTTCCATTCACATTTTCAAAAGCTGAAATAAGTTTTTGAATAGATTTTAAACGATTTCAAAATGTACATTACTGTATTACATATACATTACTTCTCACTTTGAAAATTAATATGCCAACAGAAGCATCACACAAAAGGTTCACAAGTACACAAAATACTGGCATGGGGAATATACTGTGCCTTTTTCTCGTTTGATATGTGACATCACGAACACATTGCTGATGCTAAGTTATCAACACAATACTGTAGGCTTTTTTTTGCCACCAAGTCATTTCTAACAAGACAAATTACACTTAATCCCTCCAATGCAATTTTTTTAAGATACATTGCTATACTAGAAAACATCATAATTATTTTCATACTAAAATCATGAGAACATTTTGTATATATACAGTATATTTTTTTTACATTTATTGGCATGGCAAATAATTATTCTAAACAATTCCAATCCATTACACCTGACACTAACTACATTGTGATTTTAGTAAAATACTGTACTGCATTCTTAAAACAACCAATAAATATAGTACCTGTACAATACTTTATAATTTATTAAAATTTTAAATACTGTATAACTACTGTAGATGTGTTTAGAAAACATGAAGGCACCCTCAGACCAACACATCTCAGTATACAAGCAGGGTGATGTAAACAGCACATAGGATATAATAACTACAGGGTACAGAAGTCAGGAAGTTCTTGCATAATTATTTACACAGTTGTGTCTGAAAGGGAAGAGAGTATTAGGCCCAGTCTCCTCATGATGTTCCAGTTCTCTTGATGTAGTGTCTTATCTGGGTGTGATGCATTGCTCTCCCCATCCCAAATACAGTTTATTGAAGCCCGTCATTGGGTAGTCTACATGCACATCCTAGTTATGCCTCCTTGCTGGGCCCATTCTCCAGGATTTGACCTAGCTTCCTAAATGAGGTACATGGACTATCTTATTTTCGTTTACAAACAATTTTCTTTCCAAGGGAAAGAAAATGCCGTACCTATTCAGGTTCTGCACAGGAGTGGAAGGATGTGTACCGGTTTTAATTGTATTGTGTGCTTTGCAGCCCCCCTACACATGCATGTACATATAATTAGGTAACAATGTCTTAGGTATTGTAATTCCTTAGCTCCAGAACTACACACCTGATGTTGACCAATTAAGGATATAAAATTCAGTATATATTTCTTATTTATCAAGTGTTGTGTAATAAACAGTTCAAGACTCACCTTTATCTAAGGAGTCATAAAGGTTTTTCTCCCTCTGTTTCCTCTGCTGGTAATATAAATCATTTTGGAATGTGTGCTTAGGAGTTTCTTTCAACTTTTCAAACTTTTGACGCTTCCGTTCCTGTATTTCATGTTCTCTCTCTGCTTTCTTGCTAATGAAGTCCTTCAATCTGGTAAAATATATGAATAAGAATTATAAAAATACATTTATAATTCATAACTTGCCATTTGAATGACATGTAGGTTTCATTAATGTATGGGAACTTGCATAAAGGTAGTTTGAATAAGAGCAATTTATATCTATAAGAATGTGTGTTTGTCTGTTCAAGGTTGGAGGCCAGACAATTTGGGCTAGCCTCACCAAATTTTGCAAGGGAAATGGTCTGGGGTACAGGGGCAGCCAGACTGATTGGGGTTGGCCTCTTGTTCTCTTATGATTAGTAAACTAATAAAACCACCTAACTGCTAGTGCCATAAGAGCAAACAAACTTTTAGTTCCAAATAGAGCTGTTAGAGATAATGGGAGGCCACCTCCCCTCAAGCTACCAACTTACAATCCTGACAATGGCCACTGGAGGAAAAGATCAACAGGTAAATAAAAGATGAAGCTAAATTCTGTCCCCATATAGTATCCCTTTTCCAAATTTTCTAATGTTCAACCTGTTAAAATATAAAGGCATAATTTATATACTTTACCTCTTTTCCTCATTAATATCTCTCAAGCGTCGGCCACTCAAGTCTCTGCAAGCCTCACGGTTCGTGGTCTTTTCAATTTGAGCACCTGTTAAACAATTATATGTTAATTCTCTTTATCAGTGTCTGATTATATATGGGGATTTAAGAAACAACAGCATACAGATGAAGTGAACGATTCAGACAATGTGATGCATGACTTAAATTCAAGTCTTAATCTTCATTTTACACCATTTATATTTTATACCAAAAATCTCATACCCAAAGGATTACTGTAAGAAAGTTATATTTGGGAAATGCTTAGTGTATACATACATTACTTTTTATTATCCCTATCATTTATATACTAAATATTTATAGTATAAAATTTGTTTACCTAACCAACTGAATAGTCTGGGATTGGATGCCGCCCTGCAAGAAGCGAGACAGTTGCTCTACTGTGCAGTTCAAGTTGGGCCACAATATGTGACCATACATGTCGCATATCAACTGAAAGGTGGCCACGTCAACTTCTGACGCCATAATAATCTGAACAATCCAGGAGAGATCATCCATGAGCACATTCAAGATCCCAAGAATGTGAACCACATCAAGGACTAAATCCCAAGACACTTTGGTTACAGTTGCTCTACTGTGCAACTGCTCTACTGTACTCTACTGCTTTTTCACTTACAGTTACAGTTTAAATAATAAACTACCTGTATTGTAATGATACAAATGGCAGGGCTGAGTACATCTGTGCAAGTACAGTAGAAATAATTTAAAATTATATACTTATCACAAATTTCTTACCAATTGCTCTAAGCATGGAACCAAAGCCACCTTTCCCTCCTGGAAGTCGGAGAGTGGCGACAACAGTTGCATCTTCAAACACTTGTGATGTGGGAGACAAGATGCGACCCTCTGACTGCAAAACCACATCTGATGCCTGGCCCTATAAACAAAAACAGTAGTAATATAAAATATAACAATTTACAATACTTCTAAACTTACCAAAATTACATACAGATCTACTTACTCCCTTAAATATTGTAAATACTTTTGCAACAACTTGTACTTTGGCTAGTAAATGCAAGATACATAAAAATTATATACTGTACCATTTTGGTACAGTATGCTTGCTTTTTTGCACGATTTTAACTGAAAACTTAACTTTCGACATTTTTAACACAAGAAATACCTAAAGCTACACTGCACATAACTACTTAACCACGTGCTAACAAGAGGCATACAAACAACAACTCTTACCTCTCGTTCCAATAATGCTTCTAAAAGTTTGCCTCCAGTCATATGTTTGTTATGAATGCACCACAATTGCCGATGGCCAGAAATGTGGGAGACCACGAGTATCATTGTGGCAGCTGAAAAAAACTTTCCTGCAGGTGACAAACTATTAGTTATACTACAACACATGATTTAATAATAAAATACTGAACAGCATTTGAAGTTTAGGCTTTGAAAGATTTAACATACAAAACTATTTACTATTTATATAAACTGCAACAAGGTTCATGTTTTTCTGCTTTTGAAGACCAGCCCAAAGCCTGGCTTCTTTAGTTATTAAAAACAAAATTTGAAAACTTCATACTAAAGATTTAAAATAATGACTATCTTAATATATATAATTACTAAAATGGTAACCCTAATACATGGCTATCCTTGTCATGAGAATCTGAAATAATTAGTATTATAGGACGTATTAAAAAACATGCCATCAAGTATTGTACCATGAAATGCCTTTTCCTGAGGAAACCCTCGGTCAATTCCCCAAGCCAGAGTCCACCCAGGACATTGTACTTATGCCAGACATGTCAGTCTGTGCCCCCATGGACTTGCTACCTAGTTAGGAAGTTGAGACAGAGGAGATTCAATTCAATCCATCATCAGAGTCCCACATAAAAGGTTGTTCTGGAAACTGGAACATACTGGAGGAGTGACAGGAAGGCTTTTAACATGGATGAAAATTTTTCTAACAGAAAAATGAGGGCAGTAATCAAGAGAATGTATCAGACTGGAGAAATGCCACAAGTACCAAAGGATTCCGTTCTTGCAAAAGTAATGTTCATTGTTCAGATAAACGACCAACCAGAAGCAATACAGAATTATATGAACATGTTTGCCAATGCCAAGATACTAGAGAAGATAAGAAACTTAGATGATTGTCATGCCCTTCAAGAAGACCTGGACAAAACTGTATGGAGCACCACTTAGCAAATTAAATATAATGTGAATAAATGCCAAGCTATGAAATGTGGAATAGAAGAAAACAGACCATACACAACCTACAAATTATATGAAAAAGATTTTAAAAATTCTGATAAAGATCTAGTAATGGTTCTAGATAGAAAACTGTCACCCGAGGACCAGAAAGAACACTGCAAGGAGCCTACACTATGCTTTTCCAATTTTCAGAATAACTTTTAAGTACATGGACGGTGAAATACTAAAGAAATATTGTTCACGACATTTGTGAGAGCAAAGTTAGAATATTCAACAGTTGTATGATGCCTATACAGTATTTTAAGCAGCAAATAGAAAAACTGGAAAAGGTGCAAATACATACAACTAAAGGGCTTCCAGAACTGAAAGACACGAGCTACAAGGTGAGGTTAGAGGCATTAAATATGCCAAAACTAGACGATAGAAGAAACAACCACCAAACAAAATGACACTAACATTAAAAAAATAAATTAAAATAATTTTATTCAAAAGACTGTGTGTACAAAGAACATATGAGTAATGTACAATTGTGGGGAACAGGAGTTAGGCAAACTAGTGAAGCCAATATACCAAACTCGTTAGAAACTGTACTTGTGGTCGATCTCGGACCCATTGTTGATGTAACGACTTAAACTGAATTTTGTAACTAGCTCATCAAGATTGTAACTTGCTTAGCTAAATGAATTGGGGGGTTCAGTCCCTGAGCCCATTAAGTGCCTCTGTAACCCTTTCCACTACCGCTCACAAGATGGGTATGGGGTGCATAATAAATAAACTAAAAACAGCTGGTAGAAGCTACAGCAAGTAAACTCGCCGAAACTGTACTCCAGGGAGTACTGGTTATCTGAATACTGCTTTAAAATATATTTTTTTCAGGACGAATACCCACCCGCGAACACAACTGGAGCTTGGGAGAGATGGCGACGCTTTCAATATGTGTTGGATCTAATTCACGACAACAACACCCGGGTCTGACAGCGCCCAGCTGGCCTTGGGGTGGGGGGCTGCTGCTCGCTGGTCTCATAGCGGACCCATTCACCAATCTGCTTGCCCGCGGTCCCTTATTTTATAATTAATTAATATTACTGTACTATTATTTTTATTTAATCAAATTCAATTAATTATATTATTACATATGTTGTAACGTAAGTAGTACAGGCTTGCAAAGACTTGACCAAGTCTTAATTACAGCTAACATTAAGGAAGTTGAGGGCTACTAACAACCCATCCTCCTGTTTGATAATATTTTTTGTAATTAAGTGGTCGCTTGTACCAATATCTAGTAATTAAGCACTGGTAAGCCACTTTTTGTACTATTTTGTATAGAGTCCGAAAAAAATAAACACCGAACTTAAATATTCCTAGACCTAGTATTTGGCAACGAGGGAGGATTGACTAGGCGTCAATCCTTAAGTTTTTGTATTTATATATACTGTACAAGAGTTCTTACATTCACATAAAGCCACTAGCACACATAGCGTTTCGGGCAGGTCCTTAAACCTAATTTTTCTCCGGAATACGACCCGCCAAATCCTTTAACAACATATCTGTAAACAAAGATGGAGGATATTGATCCAGGAGCCTATCCTCAGAGCAAATCTATTACCATGAGGTGTAAAGGAGGAAATGTATATGCCTCAGAATGTTCGGTAATATGTTTATTGTTTGTGATGTGTGTCTATGTATGTATTAACACGATGTATTGAACGGGGTGAGAATAGCTTGAGCTACCTCATCCCTTTGTGTGTATTTTACCTCAATAAACTTATTTCAATTTAAATTTCAATATTACCATGAGAAACCTCAACCCTCCCCCCCTCACCCTCAAACAACCTTGATAGTTATCTAGATATTTATAATAATTATAATATTTATGATTGTTGTGACAACATTAACACCATCTGTTGACCGTATTTGACCTCATTTTCTGTTCCTCGGTGGAAGGCTGTGGTCTCAAGGAAACAGGTGTAGTTACCTTCATACTATAGGATTTTTCTTTCCTTAGAGGTGTTGTGAGAGGTACGCTGGACGGCGGAAGGCAGTCCTCAAGAAAGCAATGCTTGTTTCTGTTGGAACAAGATGGGCCTGGTCGTTGAAAGTGAACTGTTTGCGGTAACCGGTAAGTTATTACGTTGTGCACACAGGGAAGGAGCCCAGCGCTAGGAGGCGGACTCGCCGTGATAGAAGACAGCAAAAAGAAGATTAAGCCACCCAAAAGGTGGCACGGGCATGAAAAGCCCGTAAGTGGAGGCCCTTTTGAGCCATTACCAGTATCAATAGATGATACTGGAGATCTGTGGAGGTGCGGCTGCACCCTGCGTGACGGGAGATGTCTCCCTAAGATCGCAAAGGTTTGTGAGGTGTCCTGAGTGAAGGTAACATGTAGGGTGGTATCCATGGCATATGTATCTTGGTGCATGTTTCTTGTAAATAATTACCTGTACGTTATATTGAAGTACGTTTGGTGATGGTTTTGTCTTGTGTTGTATAACCTCCCTTTCCTCGTTTGGTTGTCTAATACTGCTTTAAATCACACAATTTAAATAATATATAATTATCTATATATATAATATATATATTATGCAAAGCTGATACATTTACAGCTATACTAGACCGGTATCCGGCTGTGCCCGGGTCTCTCTTTACCTCCCCGACCTTTTATACTTGACAGATTTCTGGTAGTACATCATTAGGAATGATGTACGTAAAAATTTTTTAACGTTATTGATAGTTATCTCTGAATTAACAATTTTACCGTATTTAGTTTAGTGTCACAACGTATGTGAATAGTTCTGCTGACAGTGTTCACAACCTCAAGCCTACAGCAGGAGGTGGTGCTAACTCCCACAGGTACTTAATTGTAGCCGAGCCGAAGCCTAGCAGTGGTAAGTTCTATAGAAGGCTGCTAACCATATTGGATGATCCATATATCTCCCGTTCTTCCTGCAAAATAGATTGACGAATGAATTTCCTGCATATACAGATATTTGTAATAAAGCGAGGGAAAGAGAGTGACGGTACACACAGAAATCACAATAGCGTTATGCATCAATGAACAAATCGGTTCACCCTGAACCGATTTGTTCAGGGTGACGGTGTGAGTAGCGCTGGGCACAACTGTGGGCTGAACGTTGCCTCTGAATACTGTGATTATATGTCCTCATCACTACACTCTCATTAAATCAAACTGTTTCTAAAATACAGCATAGCTTGACGCGTTCTTCTGATAGTTCCCTTCGCTTCCTTTTCCGTAATGGCTTGGCGCTTTCCCCCGACAACTCCCTCTTTCCTTTTTCGACTCACAATCGGGGATCCAGGGTTTGATTCCCGGGCGGGATAGAAGTGGTTGAGCATGTTTCCTTTCGCCTAATGCCGCTGTTCGCCGAGCAATAAAATGGTACCCCGGATTTAGGAAACTGTTGTGGGGGTTGCATCCGGTGGGAGGTCAGTAGTTCGGTTTTGAGAGATCTCGACACAAGCCAAAGCCTATATACACACTTTGTCCCCGACGAAATGGAGTATTATTCTGTCCATTGTTTCAGCCCAACCGGCTCTAGAATCTACAGCAGATACCATTCGATTTTGAGTTGAGAGCCGACAGCAGGTCTCCATCATTGTTGCCATGATGATTATGTCGGAGCAGGTCATCATTGTTGCCATGGTAACGAGGTGAGAGAAAATCACCATGTTGCCAAAATGATGAGGTGAGAGTAGCCTCCTCCCACTTCATCATTATTGACATGACAAAATTGACAAATGACGGTGCCCAAAACGCTTTGCGTAATAGTGGCTTTAGGCATTGTATGTACTAGCTCTATCTATAAATCCATCAATGTTTGTATCACACCTTGTATGTATGTATTTTACCTGAATAAACATTTGAATTTTGACAGTATGGCAAAATGACCTGCTCCGAGCAGGTTGTCATTTTTCCATGAGGGTAAGGTGTGAGCAGGTCGCCATGATGATGAGATAGGAACAGGTAGTCACTATTATTTCTTTTCACTTCTTGAACGCCGGTTAGCCAGTACAATTGTAGTTTTAATTTACATTCTCCGTCATTAATGTTTGACCACAAATTATATACATTCTCGTTTTAACATTAGTAAAACGCAGAAAGTGTTAGGATCGAGTCACATGTGGTGAGTGGGGTACCCCACGGGTCCTTTCTGGTGCCACCCCTTTTTGTCATATACATCAATGACATAGAATATTACAAACTATATCAAATCAGCAGATGACACTTAAGATTTATGGTAAAATGTTATGTGAAAATGAGATTGAGGCCTTACAAAGAGATCTAAATGAACTCCACAAATAGTCGGAAGACTTGCAAATGATTTTTTTAATATCATCACAACTACCAAATTAACATTACCTTACAGCAGATTGATGACGAAAGGACCGTGGAGTCAGAATCTACCATTCAATGAAAATTGCATAATTAAGTGGGAGCTACAGTAAAGGCTAACCAAATCCTAGGAATAATAATGTGAATACAGTCTCCGTGGTGTAGTGGTAAGACAATCGCCTGGCGTTCCGCGAGCGCTAAGTCATGGGTTCGTATCCTGGCCGGGGAGGATTTACTGGGCGCAATTCCTTAACTGTAGCCTCTGTTTAACTCAACAGTAAAATGTGTACTTGGATGAAAAAACGATTCTTCGCGGCGGGGATCGTATTCCAGGGACCTGCCCGAAACGCTACGCGTACTAGTGGCTGTACAAGAATGTAACAACTATTGACTACGTGCATAGGTTATATACTAAACATAATAGATACCCTTAAAAAGATTAATAGAAAACGCCAACCTTACCTAACCTTGTTAGTATCTTAAGATAAGCATCTTATTGCTTCGTAATTACAATTATTACTTAACCTATACCTATTATAGGTTAGGTAATAATTGTAATTACGAAGCAATAAGATGCTTATCTTAACATACTAAGTAGGTTAGGTAAGGTCAGTGTTTTCTATGAATCTTTTTAAGGGTATCTATTATGTTAAGTATGTCACCTATGCACATATTTAATAAGTCAATATTGACTTATTAAATTTGCGAGAACGGGTTGCTTGTATATATCTCAAAAAAAAAAATAGTTGACTTTCAAGAAAAGAAGGTATAAATTTCTGGTGCCCCATACTTGGAGTACAGCATCCAGGCACGGATACCTGGATACCTATCTTACACCAGTTGATTGACAGTTGAGAGGCGAGACCAAAGAGCCAAAGCTCAACCCCCGCAAGCACAATTAGGTGAGTACCTCGTCTTCAGAAAGGTTGAGGGCAAATGGGCTATCAACACTACAAACCAGACATGACAGGGCGGATCTCTTCGAAAGTTTTAAAATAATGAACAGTTTGGAGGATATTGATCCAGACAACATTGTCAAAAGATGTAACACAAACAAGGAGCAACGGTTTCAAGCTCGAACAAGCCACAATGTAGGACAGAAAGTAGGTGATTTATCAGCCAAAGGGAAATAAACCCATGGAACCATATACCTGCCGAGGCTGTGAATACCAAAAAAACTGCCGAATTTAAAAATCCAGCTTGAAAAATTCATTAGGACATGTAGACCTTTCACAAGCCGCTGGCTTCCTGTCCTCGTCGAGACTGCTGGAGATATACTGGCCTTCAGGTAAATTCAGGTATATCTGCACCGATCAAACACACTAACATTCCTGCACGAGTCACAGTCGTATGTGAAATGATCATAATTTATGACGCTTCATAGCAATCATTCATCAATAACTGGCATCCATTACCAGGGAGTGTGAGGCTCCTCCCCTCCACCTGTGGGCGGAAGTGGCCTGGGTACACCGGCTCGCTACAGGTGCCTGCTCCTCACCTTTGCTACATCACATTGCCTTCTGTAAATATTTCCAGCGGGTGCCGTTATAGCTGCTATCAACACTTTTTAGACCCCAAATTCCTATACTAAGAGCAAGGGCAGGCGAGGTCGATTCCATGGCCCCCTAACGTTTATCCCAGCCAATAAGGAGGCGGCGGACGGGAGCGCCCA